CCAGAAAGACCCAACAGAGACTCCATTTCCTCAGAGTCTTGCGGAAGAACAGGGTAGAATGACGACTCATGACCGTCTTCTACCAGTCTACTGTCGAAAGCATTCTCACATACTGTATTGTGGTTTGGTATGCTGGCTTGACAGCCGTGGACAGGAAGGTATTACAGAGGGTGGTGAGCACAGCACAAAACATCGTGGGCTGTTCCCTGACACCACTGGATGACATCGCCAGGGCCCGTTGCCTTGGTAGAGTGAGGAAAATTCTCAGGGATGACTCTCACCCTGGTCGGGTAGGAGATACAGAAACATAGCCAGCCGTAACAACAGGCTGAAGAACAGCTTCTATCCATGGGCTGTCAGGCTCTTGAATGGGACATAATAATTTCATGCATGACAGACCCATGAGGCTGGTGTGCTGTGCAATTAGCTCACAGGGTGTAATAAATCGGGGGTTTGTAGTCACTGTGAGTTGTGGTGGTGGGGGGGCATAGAGGGAGGCTTAACCAATCTCACTGTATACATGTTATACTTTGATAATAAAGGTTCATTCATTCATTCATTTGATCTCCTAGCAGACAGCTTTCAGACATAGTCCTTCTGCCTTCAAGGCTAACAACCTTTGAACTCCATGACATCCATGAATTAGTCCAACTCTTTTCTGAAAAAAAAAAAAGGTATTGGGAGCGCTGTGTGTCTAGCCTATTGAAGAGAAGCGTTAAGGGAGACATGATAATTGTCTTCCAGTATCACAGAGCAGAAGAGAGATCCAATCTAGAAATAAGACACTAAGAACAATTAATCGATAGAATAGAATTGTCTGTGCTCCATCACTGGAGACTTTCAAAAATAGATTGGACAGGCATTTGACAGTCTCCTGCTTTGAGCAGGAGGTTGGGCTTGCTGACTTCCAAGGTCCATCCAGCTGTATGATTCTATGTTCTATGAAGCTAGTCAAGCTAGTAATCAGTGCCACCTTTCAAAGTGGCAAATTCAGAAATGAATTGTATATTCTGTAAAAAAAAAAAAAACTGATTTGTTTCTCTGTTTTAATTCTTCCAGGTTGGAATTTCATTGGGTGATTCTTCTTCTAAATAACCTCTCCAAATTCCTCACCCTGTTTATGGGCAAAAATCCTTCATGAGATGCCTCAATAGGTAAGGTTTTCTATGAATTAGAATTAGAATTAGACCTCCAAGGTCTCTTTTAACAGTATAATTCTATATTCTATGATTGCTCTCAGTTATTTGTGCCTGACAATAGGTCTATAATTATATAATGGGAACTGTACATTGTGGACAATACTGATATTCAGAGATCTCCAGGGACAGGTCATGGTTCCAAAGACTTTAATCTGGCCCTTCTTTCTTTGATGCCTACTTTCCAAGAAAAATAAGAGTTTAATCATAGTGCAACAATGCTATAAGTGTATTAAATATGACTTCTGCCAGTTATGGAATATTTACATGAATATTTAAATGGCAAGGAGCCACTTCTCAAGTACAGTAAAGTATCATCCTCTTGTCCAGGTGGGAAATCACAGAAGCTTTTAGCTTTTTACTGACAGCTTGTAAGTGACAAATGAAGCCTTGTTTTCCTTTCTTGTCTGTTGGTGCTGTGACTCTGGGGGGCTTTTGGTCAGCAACCTGCAAAGTCAGTATCCACATAAACACTGAGTCCAAGATACCCATGTTTAAGTCTCCAATTACCTTGCACCTCACTGGCTGACTTTGGACAATTACTTTTCTCAGCCTAGCCTAACTCACAAGATTGGGAATGCGCATAGAAAATGAGAGGTGATCCATATATACTACCTTAAGGTCCCTGGAGAAAAGGTGGTAGATAAATATAATAACAGAGATTCTCAATTGCAGCACTTTTCTTAAATTATATTGATGATTTTTTGGTTTATGTTTCTTGTCTTTGACCAAGACAATATCATTTGATTTAGTTCCTACTAATTACTAGCCTAAGACAAAGGACCAGGAAATAAAAGATAAAAGTCACAAGTAAGTAGGGGGAAAAAAGGAAAAGTATAATTAAATAAAATATTAAATACTATGGTGTACTGTACATACTATAGAATAGTAGTTGGCTGTGGTCAAGGAAATAAAATCAGACTGATCTGATAATAACATCTTGAGCTAAAACAAATCAGAATGACCAGGATATTTAATAAATAGAAATACAGTGGATATAAAAAGTCTACACACGCCTATTAAAATGCCAGGTTTTTCAGATGTAAAAAAAATCAATCCAATGTAAATCACTTCAGAATTTTTTCCACCTTTAATATCACACGTAAACTGTACAATTTACTATTTGAAAAACAATTAATTTTGTACATTTTAACTCCTATACCATGTGGTGATATATATTTTATTTGTATGTATATGTATGCATTTTTTTCATTTCCTCTGATGAAAACTAAAATTTGTCCTTTTTTCTTTAAAAAATGGTGATAACAGAATTTCTGCTGTTTGGGAGGCTAAAATATGCAGATTAAATAGAGGTGTCAGTGAGTGAATTGTATCAGGAACATTAATGTTTTCTGGTATCATTTTTCTTACGCTTTAAACTACACAATAAGTGGAGTTCTCTGGACAGTTTGGAAATTAAACACTGAAAATATAGGAAAATAAAACAAGGACAGTAAAACAAAAAAGGGTGTGTAGCACAAATCTTCAGGTATCTGAAATCGGAAAATGGAATTGAGACTGCATTGGATAACAAATCTTCCTTTTTTCCCCCTTTCTATATCTTTTATCTCTCCCAAACGTTACTCTTTACTTTAGAAGATTGCAAAATATGAACAGAGCACCAGAATACACAATATTTTCACATAGCCCTTGCACACCAAATGCAAGATAGACTTCTCCTTTGAAAGTATTTCTAAGATAAATTTCCTTTCACACATTTGAATAAAAAACAGCTAGAAAAAAAGTCTCAGCAATTTCTTTGACTAACGTGAATGAATTCCCTCACAGAAGTTACATATATAGCTTTTCTTTTCATAGTGGAATAGAAGAAAAAATAGATAATGATGATTTTAACAAATGAAGCAGCATATGGAGGAAGAGAACAGATGGGGAATCCTAACATTTAGCATTCCCCAGAATCTGGAAGAAGAGACGGGGAAAAAATTATTAGGATTGAGTTAAAGAAAGAATTGGAAATAAACTTAGAAAAAGGAATGTGTCAGATATAAGTGTCAGAAATCTATTCTTCACATATTGTGGTGAACAACTAAAAATAATTTATGGAGAATTGTCTTATGGAGAATTGTCTTATGGAGAATTGTCTTATGGAGTAATTATTTTATCATTATTATTAATCAGTCAATAGGCTTTCTTACAGTAATTGAGCAATACATAAAAATAAAAATATTCTAGCTATGGCAAATAAAGTGTTAATTAAATTAAATATTATAATCATTAAATGGATGTAATCAAAGAACAACATATTTTACAAGCAGTAAAGTAAAATGGGACCACATTCACATAAAAGAAAATACATTGGTCAGACAATAATAATTTAGAAAGAATTAATCTGAGTCTCCTGGAAATGAACAATAATTATTACAAGGGACATATATGTGATGATCTAGAAGTTGCCTTGTCTACTGACTTCTGAACGATGATCTGTTCTTCAGAATTAAAATATAGAGATATAGAGAGACAAATTAATGGGGGACAGGTTGAGGTTGTTTAGCTGAGTAGCAGCTATGAAGAATGACCTCAAACCTGGAATTCTGGAGTTTTTAATCTCTTCTTTCTTTGATTATTCTAAAACACAACCAAGTTCTCACATCAACAAAGGTCATTGGATAAGTTATTATTAAGAAGGCAATGAGTGGGAAAGCTTTTCCTCATTTTTCCTATCACGATAGAAGAATTAAGAGATTCTAGATCAGACTTGCATCAAATTAAGATTTTTTTAAAAAAACCATAAAAGCAGGCATATATTTGCAGAGGCATGCATATATAGTAATACTAGTTTATCATATATCCTCCCCCCCCAAACAGAAAAGATTAAATTCAGCACAAGATGTTGCTTGAGGTTTCTTTTATATCTCTTCTCCTTTTTATATCTCTTGCAATTTTAATTAGTTTGGTGTCATCGCAAGACAGGACTGCTGGTGATGGTAAGGGCAGAAGTTCTGAAAGAAAACAAACTGGCCACCAGAGATAGTTTCCAAGGCTCACATACCTTCTTGTTTCTAAATGAAGAGAACGTTCTTCCCTTTTGTCTGTGGTCCATCTTATAGTTCCCATTCAAAAGCCCTTAGATTAAAGAATGCATTCTTAGATGTCTTCTAGTCCATGCAGGAGACCTTATATCATTTTGGAGAGAATGGTTGTCCAATCTCTTCTCAAAAACCTCCAGTGCTATAGCAGCTACAGACACTGATGAATATTCTCACTTTGAAAGCATGTCATGGCAGCTGAAATTTACACCACCAATGCATAAATCTTTTGTTTCAGAAAATGGAGGGGCTTGTGGAAGTGTTTTACAAAGGCTCCCAGGGTCTCTTAAAAACGGAGTGATCTTTTATGGCATAAAGGTTTTATATTCCTGTAATGAAATCAGAGATCTTTTGACATGGATTCAGTCTTTCCCACAATAACATCATTTTTCAATACATTTTTCATTCAGCTTCTTCATTAGCAACTAGTGCTAAATACTAGCAATATTGAAAGGATGCTAGATTGTTCAAAAGTGCCTCTTACTCACTTATTACAAAAAGTATATCTCCTTGGCATTTAAAATCCCATGCACAAGAGCACCTAAATTTAATTGTATTAACATGCAGGCCAGGGAGAGATCTGCTGTGACCAATTAATCCCCTCCTTTGGGCTTTTACTTTGGGGGATGTCTTCAAAGAACCCTTCCAGATATGACTGTTGATACTAAGCCAGCTGGAAACCTGCCCTCCAGTAGTATTGTTACAACTTAGAATTGTGCAAATCCTTTAGCAAACACCTTCTCATATAAGGGCATGAATGAAGCTGAAGGACTCAACTTGCTTCTCATAGTCAATGGGAGAAGAGCTCAGGTTGGCTTGAAAGCAGAAAGAGATTGCCTGTCTGCCAGTCAAATCCAGCCTCCAAAATGCTCCAAGTTCTCTTGGTCATTATATGCTTAGCAGTTTTTCCATATCAAGGTAAGATGTTCTCTTTGGTTTCCTTGTTCAGATTCTTACTGCTAAAAGACTATTGCATTCAACAGATTACTGTTTTTTCTTTGTATGATTCACCAAAATTTTCTCCACTTCAATTTCTACAGACTTAGGAAAAGAATGTTCCTAAAGATTGCATTTGTTAGGAATTTACATAGATTGCTTTTTTGTGTATTTGCTTAAATTTTGTCAATCAGCACTCCAGAAGATGGTAGAGGACAGGAAGGCCTGGAGGAACATTGTCCATGGGGTTGCGATGGGGCGGACACGACTTCGCAACTAATAACAACAAAAGTCATGTAGTTAGCTTGGTTTGCATAACAAGCTATCTTTGCCTAAGTTTGATTAATTGAATTATGTGAATCAGACTATTGTGATTTAAAGTTTCTCCTGTTATCCTTATCACTCAGTGCACAAACATGCACATTGGTTGAGATGTATTTATTTATTATTCTGATTATTCAAGCTTCAAAATTTCTTTTACACCTGCCAAAAGAAATGTCTCCAGTCTTCAACATCATTCAGCAAATTGTATACCCAAAGAAAATCTGTATTTCTGTGCTGTGTTCCACTAGAAAAAAGATTCCATTCTTCATCGCTGAATAACAAATTGCGTTGTAGATGTGAAAATGGTAGAATAACATAGAGAAGTGACTCTCTCTCTCTCTCCTCTCTCTCTCTCTTTCTTTCTTTCTTTCTTTCTTTCTTTCTTTCTTTCTTTCTTTCTTTCTTTCTTTCTTTCTTTCTTTCTTTCTTTCTCTCATGAAGGGAGCTCTACAATCCTAAAATCCAGGAAGGTTAAAGATTATGAAATAGTGTATCCACAAAAAGTCCTTCCATTGTCCAAAGGAGGAGTTCAGCAGCCTGAACAAAAGGTAAGGTTTTTTTTTCATTTCATCAACTTATTTACTAATGAATCTGACCCTGAGTTTTGCTCGAGATTCAAATGAAGCAAAGTAAGAATTAAACTCTGCTACGTTCAAAATTTTGCTAAGGACAAATTTACATGAAATTCCTGCTGTTTTTATTGTCCAGCCCTTAGGGACCTTAAAACTTTAAATAACATCTGCACAGATGGATTAATATAGAGAGCTGGAAATAAATATGACATAAGATAAGTCTCATAAAACTGCACAATTCCAAAAGTCTATTTCACAATTTATATGGTTGCCCAGTTCACACATAATCGAGGAGACTTAGAACATTAATATTTCCTAATGTTAATAGGTTACTATAACTAATAAAATCTTTGGAAATGTTCAGTCATAAAGGGAGGAGGTATCAATTAGGGAAATAGTCTTGCATCTTTGTAGAGTTGCAAAAGATCCAGGACTTACACCCCACACCCTGAAATCCCATGGAATCGTACCTATCTGTTCCAAGAGAAGGCAAGCACTTTAGGGAGATTCCTGTAATCTAAGCAGAATACAATAAAGTAGTTAGTTTGAACTGCACACATATGAATCTGGTCACTTGCACCTGACATAAAGTTAATATTTAATTTAAGAAGATTTTACAGTGTCTTTTAAGCACCAGATAAAACACTCCACATCTGATAAATGAATTGGCTGTGGCTTTTCATTTGAAACAGGTGTAGAGTTAAGAGGGAAGACATTTAAAAAAAAATAAAAATAAACACTGAACTCTTTGTATTTCAGACCAAGTATGAAGATACCATGAAATATGAATTTAAAGTAAATGGAGAGCCAGTGGTCCTTCACCTAGAAAAGAATAAGTATGTTAACTCAGAAGTTTTCTTAACTTTACTAGGACAATGTGGAAAATGTATATTCTTGGGCATAATTCTACAAAAATAATAAATATATATTGCCTTTATTATTAAGTATAAGATACAAAGAAACTGCCCTATGTGTGTTTGTGTGTATGTGTTATTTTATCTTATATTATTGGAGATAATGTATGTTAAATTAGATTATGTGTACCTTAGAAATTCTAGTGCTCCAATTTTCTACTTTTTAAATATAAAGGCTTTGTAGAACTTCAAGGATAGCATCTGGATGACCATGTTTTGACTTGGAAGCAAAGCAGGGCTAGAAGTGGGAGACTAGCAAGGAATACCAGGGCTATGCCTAGTCTGGAAACAAAGGAGGCAATGCCAAGAGAACAGCATGGATGTAACACCAGGAGTAGAAAATGACCCAGTATTATTGTTTTGGAACTTCAAGAGAGTTGCTTCTAAATGAAGGTTCAAGGCATCTTTTCCCTTGAGGTTGCTTCATAAAGAACTACACTGCTCTCCTTTGTAGACTTAGCAGCTTCATCTGATTGTTGCATATATCAGAAGAATCAAAGGAAAGGCAATACAAAATGTCTTTTCCTAGTAAATCTTGCCACTTTCGAGCCTTGATGGAGAGAATTGCATAGCTTCCTTGGTAAAAACCTCTTTGCTAACGTGAATCCAGAATGTTCTGTCTTCCTCTTAAAATTGAAATGCCTGTTCCTTTCCTTTGATACTGAGCAAAATCCTTAAAATGCCATTAAACAATAGTTGTAGACTTGTTATGCAATCATCTCTGTTCCTACTTAATTCCTGGCTAAATAATGTCTTCTTTGCGTTCTTTCCAGAAGACTTTTTTCGAAAGATTACACTGAGACCCATTATTCCCCTGATGGCAGAGAAATTACGACAAGCCCTCCAGTTGAGGTAATATCCATCTTACTTTTGTGAAATAAATTGAGAAGAATATTTGTGCACAATATTCCAAATATGCATATACCAAACCTGGCTATTCAAACAAGAAGGACTGTATATGTATGAATTATCTTATATTGAGCAGGTAATGTATGGAATCGTTAAAATTTATTCTGTTCCACTTTATGAATTAATAGGGCAATATTTCAATCGACCAGTTATTTCCTACTGGTTAATAGCAAACATTTTGGGGAGTGATTCCCAGAAATAGGTTTATTATTAGAACATCAGGTTTATAGGATCTACTCTGCTTTTTAAACCAGATTACTGTGATACCTGCAAAATCATTTGTTTGGAACACCAAAAGTGAAAAGAATTCACTTTGCTTCTACAGAATACAGAAATCCATTCTATGTTCCCCATAGTTAAAAGGATCAGAACCTGTTACAATGCCACAGCACTAACATGCTTCCTTAGGCCCTTGGCCCCCTCCCCACAAAGTGATCTAAAAGTGCATCCTCTGTCTCCAAAAATTGCCTACTCCTGGATTAGCATCTTCCAAGGTCATACAAGCTGCTCCTACTTAATGTGTAGCAGAAATCTCTTGATTTTGGTGTCTACATGGGTCCTGCTTCAAGAAGATCTAGGAACCAAATTCAACACCAGTTGGAGTCTTACAGGTTATATAGGCATCTTATATCTGTGATGTGTTTCTGAAAGCTTTCATTGTGTGGGCTCAAGGAAATAATGATTCATTGTTAATGATTAGTAAATGTGGATTTCCCCCCCCTATGTTATAGTAAGATTTCAGAACATAGGACAATAAGCAAATCAGAGACTTTATTCAGCAAATCCTGTGTTGCCGTACTGGAGTTGACTTCCAAGAAGACAAAGATGTCTAGAGAAAAGGACTTCTAAAAATTGCTTTTTTTTTTCAAAAGGCAACTGAACTGTTTCTTTCTTGAGGAGGAAGAACAAAATGTTTCATTTCTCATCCAAGAAACTTCATCAGTTGTGATGAGAAATGCAATGTTTTGTTCTTCTTCCTCAGGGAAAAAGCAGTCCAGTTGCCTTTTGAAAAAAAACAAACCAGCACTTTTGAGACAACTATGACCTGGGTGACTGAGAATCTCCACAGACAAGAAAAGGGCTTGTAACTTCAACAGAACATTTTATTTTTTTTTGTGTTGATTGTCTTCCCAAAATTTCTTAGCTTTGTGCCATCAATGGGGCTCCCCCTGCAGTGTGACTTACTTTTTATAGAGACTTGTGTTTCTCCTACGTTCATTATGAACTATCAATACTACGCTGGTTTTCTGTCCCCCTCAATCAAGACATTCTGGACTAGTTGCTGTCTTACTCATTATTTCACTGATGTGGTGGAATACATTGGAACTGTACTTCTGCTCATCAAATCACACCACAAACAATCTTTAACCAGTGTTTGCCTTCTTGCCTCCATACAGGATCACTGCTATTATCATGGACAGATCCAGAATGATATTGACTCAATTGCAATCATCAGTGCATGTGATGGCTTGAAGTAAGATAGTGCCTTATCCTTTATTTATTTTATTAAAGGTGAAAATAGTATTACTGCTTTTGTAGTTGTTGTAGTTAAAGTATAGACAATAAGTTTCTTTCATTCAAATTACTTGGGTTTGATGCAAGACATCTGCAGATTTTATTTGAAATTAAGAAGAACTGCTGCTTAAGAGACAGGAGGGAGCTAAACCAGGTCTCTCTCTAGAGGAGCATCAAAGCCCGTGTCCCCTTTGTATATAGGAGGTGATGTTACGGGCAAAGAAGATAAGTACGTTTCAGATTGTGCACCTTGCTAGAAAGTGTACAGGAAGAGGCAAACAGATTTTCAGTTCTACCAGAAACACCTTCTTGAGCCATTCTGCACACTTTTTCTAACCAGCTAGATATCTTAGCCATATAAATATTCCAAATTTAGAAGGCCAGATTATCATTAGTCAGATTCAATGTCCTCCTGACAGCCGTCACTGAAAGAAGACACCAAAAGATTCTTTGAACAGAGACTGTATCCATGTGGTAGAGAAATAATTGAAATGATAGAAGGTAACATAACTTAAATGATGAAGTATAACAGCAGAATAACAGGATGACAGATTGGGTTGGAAGAGAACTTGAGGTCTTCTAGTCCAATTTCTTGCTCAAGTAAAAGACCCTGTACTATTCTGGACAAATGGCTGTCCAATCTCGTCTTAAAAACCTCCAGTGATGGAGCACCCACAATTCCCTAAGGCAAACCATTCCACTGGTTAATTGCTCTCACTTTCATAAAAAAAAATTCTTAGTTCTAGGTTTAACCTCTTTTTTGATAAGTTTCCATTCATTACTTGTCTTGGCCTTGGCCTCAGATGCTGTGGGTATATGTTGTCCTCCTCTTTTTTTTTTTTGACAGCCCCTTAAATATTGGAAAACTTATCATGTCAGCCTTAGTCCTTCTCTTCATTAGTACCCAATTCATGCAATCATTCATCATATGTTTCAGTCTCCAAGTCCCTGTTATTCGGCACTGTTATTCACTCCATTGCCTTCTCTATGCAGTTGCTTGACAAGAATTATTATTTCCAATCTTTATTAAATATCCTGGTGATTCTGATTCTTAAATTGTTATCATCAGATCAATCTGATTTTATTTCTTTGATCACAGCCAAATACTGTTCTAGAGTTTGTACAGTACATCACAGTATATCCTCTAATGTTTTTTAAATATTTTAGAACAATTATATTTTCCTTTTTTATCCTAATTGTGTGACTTTTGTGTATTATCTGTTGGTCTATGACCAAATAAAGACTGATTGATTAATTGTACAAGAGGATTCTGTCATTCTGTCTGTCTGTCTGTCTGTCTGTCTGTCTATCTGACATAAAGTATTTCACTCTTATGACAATAAAGTTTTATTATCTTTCAAACAAGTTTAGCCTTACACTTCCACAGCTAGAAACTTTCTCTGTTTTTTTTTTAAGCCCTGGGAAATATAGAGCATTGGATTCCAAGCCAAACTAGCTCCATACAAATATTGTACAGATATTTCATGTTTATCCTGAAAATGTGCAATCTCTTGTATATCTTATTGTATCTTTGAGAAGCATGAGAAAGAGATTTGAGTGCTGAGGAAAGAAAATTAAAATTTCAGTGAGTTTCAAGGAGGGATTCAAAACTACAACAGCTGTTGACTTCATTAGTTAAAAATTGGTTATCCACTGAAGGGCCTTCGGTGCTCTCTGAAAATAGTTGTTTTTTTGCAGACATCTCATTACCCAACCAGCTAACATCATCAGTGCAGTTCATACCTGAACTACAAATATTCTCTTCTATTAATTATCCATCTCGATTACCCTTTTCAAAAAGTGCCTATAATTGTTTTTACAGTGGGTATTTCAAGCATCAAGGTGAGATGTACCTTATTGAACCTTTGAAGCTTTCTGACAGTGAAGCCCATGGAGTCTTTAAATATGAAAGTCTGGAAAAAGAGGATGAGACTCCCCAAACTTGTGGAGTAACCCACTCTACTTGGAAAGCAGATGAGCCCATCAAAAAGATTGTTAAGACATTTGTTACTCCTGAAGAAGTAAGTCTCATATTAAACCCTCAAGTACATAACATGGTTTGAGAACAGGGATATATTTATTTGTTTCTAAATGGTAAAGTAAAAGAGAAATTCTCTGGGATTGCTTAGATAAAAATCATAGAAGAGGAACCCCCATTTCTAAAATTCTATTTCAGCCATGCTGTAAAAGAAAATATGGAGACTCACTGAACAGAAAATATATGTTCCAGGTTTATATAGTTTTCTATAGTCACACAAACTTAGTTTGGAGATTTGATTCAAAATGGTTTCAACTGAATCACCAAATCATCTCAACTTTCTGAATTAGTCTAGAAAATTTAATCAAATGATCAATGCCTCTTTTATGCATGCATAGGGGACTTGAGATAGAGGGAGACTTGGTTTAAAATATTAAATCAAAGTGTTTTGAGATGTCTAATAAGACCTAATAAACATAATCATGACTCAATTTTCCAATATGATTTGAATCACCAGGTTGCATTGAAGCAAGGATTGAATCAAAACCGATCAATTTGGTCACAGATGACCCTCATACTCCCAATGTTTCCCTCCATTACTGGAGGCAGAAAAATTCAAAGACAAAACATTACATCCAAAATCATAGTTCCTCCTTCCTTTTGATGACAGAGGTTGAAACTGGCTGAAATATATACAGAAGTTCAAAACCTCAACTTTTTTTTGTTAAAATGTGATAGACTTAAACAAGAATTCTTATTACAATGGAATAACAAAATGCAGATGCAGACACCAAACTCTGCCGCTCGCTCACTGGCTTAATTTTTGTCTTCAGTGATTCTAATCATTGGACATTCTTTATCATCAGCAAGTTGTGGTTATATGTAGTGTTTTTAATTGGTACATTATTCTATTATCACCTTTTGAATGTTCTAGTCTCAATGTCAGGTCACAGTCTTTTCATTCAAACTGGATCTTGCACAGCAGAGTTAATAAAGTGGCTGTCAGAGAGCAAGGAGAGAAATTTTACTCTGGAATTGGCAATCTTGAGCCCAATATTGACTTCTTATGTAGTATGAATACATGTTTTTCCAGCATACAGAAAAAGAATAAGGGGAAGAAGCAAGTAATACACGCTCACACATTCTCTAGTCTAGGCATTAAAGTTTTAACAAGCTCTCTCTCTATACATATCTTCTTCAAAGACCAATATTTCTGAAACTTCAAGGAGTATAACAAGCAGTTTTCTGATTATTTGATCATGCAACATGCCTGTTGGCCTCAGGGAGCAACATGTCTAAACAGTCTTTTGTTTACTGTTCTGTTTAGGAAAAAGAATACTTGGAAACTCCAAAATATGTTGAGCTCTATGTAGTTGTGGACAATTTAATGGTAGGTATCTTGGATACTATTCCATTTTCTTTCTGCATTGAGCACACAATTTTGTTTCTGTCTTTTTTATGTGGACATTTTTGAAGGCATTACCAAACATAACATTCTAGTTGGATTGTATCTTAACATGTACATTAAAATATACTGTGATAATTTTTTTGATATTGAGCTCATCCAATATTTACAATGTGAAGAGACATTTAAAATTTAACTATACTCTAATTTGCACATTAGTTCTTCCTGGACTCTGTCTAAATTTTAATTACGCTTTATCCAGAAATGCCAAGATCAGGAAGTTGAATATGAAGAGCATAAATGAAAATTTGAAATTGACAAAAGAGTAAAAGAGAATCATCATACATTTCTTGTACTTGGTCAATTTTCTCCAACCAGGAGGAGAGCTGTCTGACTCAGCAGATTCACTGATTTTTTAAGTCTCTTCGTCTCCCTGACCTGCTCTTTTTCTCTCTCCTTCAATCCCTCCATCCTAAATTTTTTAATTTTTTTTTTGTCTTTTTTGTAGTTTAAGAAGTACAGCGGCAACATCACTGATGTAACGGCAAGAATATTTGATATAATCAACTATGTAAATTGGGTAAGAGGACATGTCAAAAATTATTTCACTTTTTGAATTTAAACATCTCCCTAGCCCAACTCAGATTTTCACTGTGTTTACACAACAAACTTAATCAAGTAAAGAGACTTAGGAGATGAATTTCTACAAGAATTTAACTTTTCCAGATTTAACTACAGCAAAGTTGGGCCATTTGGCCACCTTGTGATTCAGCGTATAAGGCTATCCCAGAAAATGGGTTAGTTGAGTAACTAGATTAATAAGACTCTTATGAGGATATAGCCACTGTGTTGGGAGGATGCAAGGCCAAATCTGTTGCAAGAATTCAACCAGTGCTACATCTCTGTAGCTGGATTTTTTCAGGGCTTTGGTTAATCTTCTGAACTTGGGCAGAGTAAGCCTATTCCAAACTAACTGATTATGAACATGATCCCTGAGAAGAAAGCAGGAGAGAGGAACCCAGTTTGAGTTGGATGTGGCACTTAGGAGGAGATCCACTCATATTGCACTGCTTCTGTCCTATTAGCCATGTTGACCATCTTCTATTGATGATCAGTTAGAATCAGGGAGACAACAGGAACATCAGTAGGTGAAATCATCCTTTAGTCCCCCTCCTCCTATTTTCTTGATTAAAGAAAATAATCACCTAGTTCTTATTTATCATTTTATTTATTTCTTCTGCTTAATAAATTATTAGTATTTCTCAAAATGGGGAGTTTTTGATGCTGCTTGAGCTTGGTGGTTACCTTGCAGATATTTTATTACTTGACTAAATATCTGCAAGCAAACCACCATCTCAGAGAGCACCAAGAACTCCACAGTTCAACCCTGGGCTGTAGAGATTCTCTTCTATTGATTCCCAAATCTATTCCAGGGCAATGTCACTTGCCTATTAGTCTTGAAATGAGCCTCAAGTTTACTTGTGTTTGAGTTTCTGATTGATTCCACATCCACTCCACAGTTTTGCAAAGCTTTGAATATTCACATCGTACTGATTGGCTCAGAAATTTGGTCTGATAAAGATAAGATTGCGATCAATGGATCATCGGAACCCGTCGTGAGGTCCTTTGCAGCCTGGAGAGAATCAGATCTGCTGAAGCGCAAAAAGAATGATAATGCTCAGTTACTCACGTATGTCTCATTGTGGGGAAAGGGAGTGGGGGTGGCTGGGAGTGGAGGGTTATGGGAATGTTAGTATTTGCTCAGAGCATCCACTCTGTCTTACATGTTATAAACCATGTGTGAACTTTGTGGTCCAAAGCAAACCATTTTTTTCTTAGCTTACAGCTACTTTTGAGAAGTCCTTGAATGAATGCAGGTCAAAAACTCAGCTTTATTTCATTTTACCTGGTTTTAAAATTGAAACGCAAATGAATATCCTGCCATAAATTTCCGAATTTTCCTCTTCTGTTAATGAAACATTCTCTTTTGGTGACAACTTTAATGTAGGTCTTAATGTCAAAACTTTAAAAGAGAGAGGGAGCTGCCAGAGGCTTCTGACAGCTTCCCATGTTTAATATTTACCAGTAACAAAATGATTTTCATGTTTTCCTGTTTATGGAAGCATCATTTTCTCCAAAAAGTAAAAATGAAGACTGCCAGGTCAATTGATATTCAAAAAGAATTATGCCTGTAATTTATGTGAAATTTTCAAATAAATTGGCAGAAATATCCAGACTATGTGAATAAATCTCTTAGAACAATGTTTATAGAAGCAGAGTGAGCTCAGCCTATACATTATAAAATTTATGAGTGGGAAATTGGCAGTTTTATTGGCTTAAATCTATAATATAGACTAGACTAGACTAGACTAGAACAGAACAGAACAGAACAGAATAGAATAGAATAGGAGTTGGAAGAGACCATGGAGGTCTTCTAGTCCAGCCCCCTGCTCATGCAGTAGAACTTATACCATTTCAGACAAGTGACTGTCCAGTCTTTTCTTAACAACCTCCAGTGATGGAGCACCCACGATCTCTGAAAACAAGCTGTTCCAATGGTTAATTGTCCTCACTGTTAGAAAGTTTTTCCTTAATTCCAGGTTGCTTCTCTCTTTGATCAATTTCCAAACATTGTTTCTTGTTCTACCTCCTGGTGCTTTGGAGAATAATTTGACCCCTTCCTCTTTATGGCAGCCCCTAAAATATAGGAATATTGGACACATAACAGTTGTGAGCAATTTTATAGGGTCTGTGTATAACAAATGCATGAAACATGTTAGGGCTAGATGGAGGGCAGATCGAAGGGAAAGAGAGAGTATAAAAAATACAAAAAAAAATCCCTTTTATTCTTCCCACAGCTATTGATTTGGCTTGTCACTAAACCAGCTTTTCCAATTTCAACTAGTCTTTAATAACACCGGAGTTATGTTGATAGAAGACATCTAATGACTAAAGAAACCTGAATTTGGGGTTGTAAATTAATTTAATGGACTGGATTCACACAACATGCTAATCCCTCTCCCCAGCCTAAGTCTAATACTAGCCAAACCTATGCCATTCTGAATACTGGCAAGAACTAAGGTCGGGCAAGGGGTTGCAAGAAGCTATGGAGATTCTTGTATGTCCCAAGGCTTTAGATTGTGCTTCCATCTTCTATAAATTGTATCCCCCTCATCTGCTTTCTTACAGGAGTATTCACTTCGATGGTGGAACCTTAGGAGTAGCTTTTATAAGTGGAATGTGCAATTCTCATCTATCTGCAGGAGCGATTCAGGTTGGTAGCAAGGACAAGTCTTACCTGTTTGCAGTCAGTGAAAACATATATATATAGTCATCACTTTATTACAAAAAAAGAGACTCTTCTAATTTTTGATCCACATCATTTTCATCCATATTTATTTATGAATTTGACCTCTCCAGGTCTTTCCTCAATTGATGGCATTTTGGCACAATGCATTCTGGACATGTCATAGAACAAGATATTTTTAGTGCTTTGACGTATGTAGCAGAAGATGAAAATACAATTCTTTTGGATTAGGAGGACTCAAGGGAAAACTGCCATAATTGGCAAATGAGCAGGTCAAGTCCTGTTGCATATTTGCAAACAATGCTTCTAAACAATATTCTTAGTAACCCTAATGACAGACATGAATCATCCTTCTTTCATTCCAAGAAATTTACGATCTAGATTTATATGGCTGAATTCATATACAGTGAGAAAATGGGAAAATATTAAATCTACTTTTTAAAAAACTTCCAATATTTGAACAACCTATCAGAAAAACACATTAGTTAAGAAGGTGCTAATGATATTTACTGTGAAACTTGGCTTTGTTCGCTTAGAATAGAGTGGAGCCACATGGAGGTTATAAAGTTTTGTTCCTTAACAAGCAGAATTAGGATCTTGACAGTATGGGGTAACCATAAACTTGTTTGCTTAAGAAAGTCATTTTTATTCAGAAGGACCAACTCACTCATAAATCTATTCAGCATTTCATCCTTCAATATTCTGAAAATGCTAGCTTGTAGCAAAGCCACTGAGTAGTTTTTGGACCGAAGCCCATAAGTTTTAGTAACTAAAGAAATGCAGTCAGACAGATGGATGCAGAGGTTTTGATTATCTCCTGTGCTGTAGATTCAGGGCTTTAAAGTTTTTTTTTTTGAATGCAAGTATTTGTGTATCTTCAGGAAACATGGTGCACATACATGCATTCAGAAGAACTGGAAGAATGTTGAGATGGTACAAGTAATCCTCAAGTTACATCTGGTCAATTAGCGACTGTTCAAAGTTACTATGGACCCCCTGACATCATGTGACTGCATTTTGAGCCCTTGGCAATCAGCCTAAATGTAAGGCCATTTACAATGCCCTGGGATCACGTGACTGTAATTTATGAGTTTTGCCAGAAATTTACTTCTGGTTTCTTAGAAAAACTAGCCCAAAGAAAACAATGGGTTCATTTAACAACCACAATTTTCTCTTAATGACCACAGCATTTGCTTTAAGACCACTGTGTTTGCTTAATGACTCCTATAAAAAGGTGATAAAATTAGATCAATCATGTCATGACCCACTGTACTTCCATCCTAACCTATCATCTTAATTGCCAGGCTCAGTTATTGTCATACATTGAGGACTACTTTAACAATTTTCCTAGCAATTCTCCATTTAAAACCAATAAATAATAAGAAATCTTGTTGCCTATAAAAAAGTAGTACAATCTGGAGAAAAGATCTTATCCCTTCTACTGGTTTTGAGGCTAATGTTCTATTTACATTTCATTATTTAACCCAGAAAAAATAATAGGAAGACACTTTATTGTCAAAATATTCCAAGGAGTCAGTTGTGGAGAAATTTCCATCTCTAAAGTTAGAAACCATCAAACTTTGAAGAAACAACTGCTTTCTGCAAGAAATCCAATCTCAGCCCTGTAAATTATTAATCTCTTTTTCTAACTCTGATTTTTTTACTAGAAAGTTGCTGAGCAAAGCTTTCAGCTCAGTACTAACAGCTGGGTTCAATTCTGGTTTCTTGATGGACTAATTGTAGACAAAATGTTCTCTTTTTTTCCCAGGATAACAGCATCTATGCAGTTACCACTGCGGCTATAATGACCCATGAGCTGGGTCATAATCTTGGCATGGATCATGACCCAGATTCCTGTACTTGCAAGGATGGCCCATGCATTATGAAGGCTGCAATAAAGTAAGGATTCAGAAAAGCTTTAAATGTCTTTCAAATCAAGTTACATTTAAATGATTGCAATTAAACACTAAATTAAGTATGCCGGGAGCTTAAAAAAAAAATGAAACTGTCAAAGTTACAGAACAGTAGGGTTTGGTCAAACGTGAGTCAGTTTTCAGTATGTAATTAAAGTGTGTTGTATTTAAAAAGATAGAACTGCTCTCAACAATTGAATAGCCATCATTCAGTAGCTCCCTCCAAAACAGAATAGTTTAAAGAAACGGCATAGGAAGCATAACCCAAGAAACCAAATATTAATGTGATGGAAGTTGTTATTAAAGAGGAAGCCAAGTTAGACGTTAAAGACGGTCCTAAAATGGGAACCAGGAATAGGAAAAAATAAGACATGCTCTGTCTCTCTCATATATTGCAGTCTGCTGAAATCAACAGGTAGCCATATACAGATGGTCCTCAACTTACAACCATTTGTTTAGCAACCGTTCAAAGTTACAGTGGGATAGAAAGACATTATTGATCCTCTCAATTACAACTGATGCAGCATCCGCTCATTTAAGACTCAGAATTCAGGCACTTGGCAACCAGTTTGTATTTATGATGGTTGCAGCATATTGGGTTTATGCAGTCACCATTTGCTGGAAAAAGGAGAAAGGGGAAGGAAAGGAAATTGTTTATTGGCCAAGTATGTGCGTTCAGAACCTAGAGGCAAGTTGCTGATATTAGAGCAGAATTCTAATAATAATAATAATAATAATAGTAATAATAATAATAAAGTTGGAAGGGACCTTGGAGGTCATCAAGTCCAACCCCCTGCTCAGGCAGGTAACCCTATACCATTTTGGACAAATGGCTATCCAGTCTCTTCTTAAAAACTTCCAGTGTTGGAGCATTCACCGCTTTGGAGGCAGGTTGTTCCACTGGTTAATTGTTCTAACTGTCAGGAAATTTCTCCTTAGTTCTAGGTTGCTTCTCTCCTTGGTTAGATTCCATCTGTTGCTCCTTGTCCTGCCTTCAGGCCCTTTGGAGAATAGCTTGACTCCCTCCCTCTCTCGCCCCTGAGATATTGGAAGGCTGCTATCGTGTCCTCCCTCGTCCTTCTCTTCATTAAACTAGACATACCCAAATCCAGCAGCCTTTCCTTATATGCTTTACTCTCCAGTCCCCTTATCATCTTTGTTGCTCTTCTCTGTACTCTTTCTAGAGTCTCAACATCTTTTTTACATCGTGGTGACCAAAACTGGATGCAGTATTCCAAGTGTGGCCTTACCCAGGCATTATAAAGTGGTATTAATACTTTGTGTGATCTTGATTCTATCCCTCTGTTAATGCAGCCTAGCACTGTGTTGGCCTTTTTGGCAGCTGCATTCATTTGTTATAAAAAGTTCAACCTCTCCAAAAGAAGTAAAGAGAAAGAAACAATTCCACTGTTTTCCCTTTAATTGAATTATTGCCACCTCTTCTTCATTCCATCAGCAACATCACTGAATCATTTCCAATCTCCTTTCCCACAGAGAGGCTGAGTAAAATGAAAATGAAAGGCAGCCCATTAGACACAAGAATTAGCTTAAGCAACTAACGTCACATGGAGTTTTCATTGCAATTCATTTTGTTTAATGAGCATAGATCAATGAAATCTGTGCCTGGTCCAAATTGGATGATGTCACAATCTTATATTGGTTTATCTTTTCAGCCTTCTACCTCCCCGGGAATTCAGCTCTTGCAGTTTCTGGTATTATAAGAATTATATCATGACCGAAGCTTCACAGTGCATTCTCAATGACCCTTTGAGCACAGATATTGTTAAAAATGCAGTTTGTGGGAATAGCTTTGTGGAAAAGGGAGAAGAATGTGATTGTGGCTCTCCAGAGGTAAGGTTTTTTTTTTTTTAAATCAACAAGGCTGATTCCAAGAACTTTGTCAAAAATGGGAATCCTTGCAAAATCATCTGGCTTTCTCAGTGGTTTGCGCCATCCAGGAGGTTGGTTTGTGAATGGCATAGATTTGTGTCCTTTATGTACATGCAAGTATGCATGGTTTCTTGGATTTGGGAAATCAGTTGTACACAGATGGAGAACTAATATCTCCTTTTGGGAAAACAATGCATTTTTTAAAATGGGTGTTTTACCATTCTAAGAATATCCTTCCCTACTGAAAACCCCTCCTTTGTTGACATGGCCACATTAAGAATGAAGTCAAATATGTATATCCTAGGATAACATTGCAGGATCCAATTTCGGTCAGTCACCAGGATCAAAGGTTTACTCTTCCGAGCTTGCAGACACGTGCTGGAGCCCATCCTCAGGGAACTTCTTTCTCAACAGAAGGTGTGAGAGAAAAGTTGTGAGAGAGAAATTCCTTGAGGATGGGCTCCAGCACACGTCTGAAAGCTCTGGTCTTGGTGATCAACCCAGGTTGGATTCTGCAACATGGACACATTATCTATCCCACTATTTTCTTGAGCTGCTTCCTCTCAGAACTTAAAGATCTTCAATCTCTGTTCTGCTCTCTAATAGTAATTTTTTAAAAGAGCAATTTATTAAAGTATTCTCCTTAGATTTTTAAATAGAGTCAATACACAATGTAATTGTTTATGCTAATGTGCTTGAGAGACAAAAGAAAGAGGCTACTTAATGGTCACATAAATAGTAGCTTAGCCTGCAGAAGCAATGGGGTATGACAAACATAACAAGAGGAACACCTCTCACCCACCTTTCCATATTGATGAGGGGAGAAATGTATTTTCAGCCAAGAAAGATTCTGTTATCATAACCTTGCAATAAAGGTAGTCTTAATATTCATGGTTGGTGTTTCTTCTCTGGCCTACCTCAAAGACTGGAATCCTGAGTAGAAAATTGCTCAAAATAAGCAAAAGATTTGGACTGCAGGTTATGTGAGCTTCACAGTTTGGAGATGACAATATTTGTTTTTGTTTGTTTTATTCTTTTCACATAGGAAATATCAGATAGGTATGTGTCATGTAGATATGGCATCATTTATTTGAAATAACAAACACTCAGGCTGCTATTAGACATATTCATTTTCTAACATGAATCCATAACACATGGCAGAAATGTCTTTTTCCTTGGCAGTTTCCCTCTTCAAAATAGACCAATTAAAAAAGACCAGGCAGAAAAGCCTATGACATCATTTGATATATTTTGGTTTTCAGATATGTGAAAACGAGTGCTGCGAGGCTGCAACTTGTAAACTGAAACCTGGAGCTGAATGTGCAGATGGGGGATGTTGTGAGAAATGCCAGGTAAGATTTGTTTACTTTTAACACTAGGAGAGATTTTATCCTGCTCCTTACTAGTAGTATGAAAATGTAGTATCTTTTGGTTGTTTAATGTGATCAAAAATATTTTAACCCTGTTCTCATTCCTTCTTCCAGTTTACTTGACCTTTATGAACATGGGGAGGACAGTTTAACAAAATTTCAGCATTGTCTCAGACTAAAATGCATTCCTTTGGCATGTTAAGTCACGTCTATGAAAATAATACATATCCTTCTTAGACTTACTTTGCATGGAAAGCCAGTTTAATAAGGGTGGGCAATGTCTGGGATTGGTGCCCTAACTCAGCTTCCTGATTTCTAGAAGGTTATAATAGTTCTTTGATGATGTTATGACATTTTTCTTCTTCTCTGCTATGGCTTTTAGGGTGGAGATGGGTTTAGGAGACTTCTGGAAGTCAAATTGCTTTCTTTCCCACCCTTAAGTTCCCTAGCTGCTCTCCAAAGCCCTAAATATTTTTGTGGCACACTTTGGAGGTGCTGGAGGACCATGAAGTGAAAGATGCAAGTTTCTTGTTCCTTCTATGTGGGATCCCAGTTGACTCTATAATAAACGTTTTGAGCAGAGAGGCTGAAAACTTTTTGTTATTTCCATACTTTCATCACAAGCCAAAATTCACAGGAACAGAAAACAGCCATGGTTTTTCAGCACTTGAGAGAAAATGCTATGAATGCCTCTTCCCATGTAAGGAAATAAAAATATACCACGCAAAAGTTCAGCAATTCACGTTTTGCTGCTCTTTCATAAGGACCAAATTGATTTTCATTGATATTCATGGTCAGCCAACATGTAGAACTTGTGGTTTAGGAACTGAGCTTTTCATAGCAATCATTTTCTCATAGCAAATAAGAGAAGCTGGGACTTCTAGGCGTTATACACAATGTCTTAATTTGTGGAGCCCATTTGTAACATTGAAGAGAAACCTTGCTTGGTAATCCTCATGGTAGATGAAGAAAAGACTTTGAAATGTGTTGTGAATCATAGTTTGACTCTTTGATCTCTGCTGCTAAAGAGTGATAGCTTCATTCTCGCCCTTAGTTTAAGACAGCAGGAGAACTATGCCGGGCAGCAAAGGATGACTGTGACCTGCCTGAACTCTGCACTGGCCAATCTGCTGAGTGTCCCATGAATCACTTCCATAAGGATGGACACCCATGCCAAAACAATTTGGGTTACTGCTTCAGGGGGACATGTCCCACTTTGACCAACCAATGTATTGCTCTCTTTGGGCCAGGTAAGGCAACCTTAGGGTTTCAGAATAGTGCTGTTATAAAAGACAGTTGTTGCAATTGATCAAAGGTATTTTTTACCTTGGTATCCATAGTAAATCATCATTTCATTTCTGTTATATTTGTGTGTTGTCATAATGGCATAAATTTTTCAAGATGAAGTTCTTTCTTGGAAGCTTCATAGCTCAGTGCTCCAGATCAGTTCATCTTTTGGTTTAAAGCTCCAAGCATCCATAGAGAACATGGCCGATGGTCAAAGATGATGGCAGTTATAGAAATCTGGAAAGATGGACTTTGGAGGAAGGGTGCTTTTGTGGGTTGTGGACAAAGATCTGAGACAATATGCTGCATGTGTGTGTATGCCATAGACAGACTGCTATGTTGTATATTACAGCAACAATTCAAAATTATTGTCCAATACTCTTTGTCTTAAATCAATGGGTATTGTGCAGTAAGCCAGTACTAGTGGAAAAATGCAAAGAACTACATCAATAACCTGTTATAAGCTTAGAGTTTTGTCCATTTAGCTTTGTTCTTCTAAGAATTAATTAGGGTCACCTTCCACCTTTCTCAAGCAGAGATTGAATATGGGACTGTTTGCTAAGAGTATTCAAATCCTAAGATTGAATTTTTCTTCAAACTTGGCATAGTAATTAAAGAAACAGATGTTAGAGATGTGATTCTTGTTACTGATCACTCATGACTTTAATGATAGACTATCCCAAAATGTTCGTCGTGATTTTATGTTGAAAAAGGAACATACGTTACTGAAAACAAGTTTCTTCTTTTCATATAAAGGAGATGTTTTTTTCTGGGAAACAGGAAACAAGGAGATTTATCTTGATCATAGATGAGTGATGCAGTAATGTTTGTATATAAAATATCTCCAATACAATTTTTTGGTCCCTAATGAAAAGGATCAGGTGGCATATGGTGATTTGGAATCCTGCTGGCATGTTACACTCTCATGTAATTGTTCCTCACTCTCCTCTTACAGAGGCAGAAGTGGCTCCAGATAGATGTTTTCTGGATAACCAGAAAGGGAATGATTATGGCTACTGCAAAAAGAAAACCAATACAAACATTCCATGTGAACCAAAGTAAGCACTCTAAATTATTTTCTGCTATGATGATGACATCATTTAAGGATAATATAAGAAATGTTTTCAGGTCCACATCTGTGGGAATCTGATTCTATCACCTGGCTAAAACAACAGAAGTGTGATCCAATTTCTGAATGGCTAATTTTCCTTTGTTTTCCATCTTGGGTTACAAAGCAACATCACTACTAAAAGAAGTGTCTTACAACTGGTCCTTGCACTTACACTGTTGCAGCACCCCTATAGTCATGGGATCAAAATTCAGATACTTGTCAGTCAACATGTATTTACGAGGGATGCAGTGTGCTGAGGTCACATGATGATACTTCCCTGCCAGCTTCCAGCAAGCAAACTCAAGGGGGGAAGTCAGATTTGCTTAAGAACCATGCGATTCAGTTAACAGTTATAGTGAGTCACTAAAAACCATGGCAGAAATGTCATAAAACCAGGTGCAACTCAATTAACAATAGCCTTGCTTAGCAATGCAAATTCTAGATCCTGTTACAGTGATAACCTCAAATTGGGGTGGCAAGATGTTGAGGCAGAGGGAACAACAGAGAAGGTCCTTCTCCTGGACATGAGACAGCTGGAATAATTGGGCTGGCAGGACCTGCAGGATGCTTCTACCAGCATGAGCGGAATGGGACAAGCCCAGTGGGTGAGGTCAAGTAACCTGGACCCATATGCCATGAAGGGCTTTAGAGGTGATCACTGACACCTTGAATTGCACCCAAAAGCAGACTGGCAACCAATGCAGCTTGCAGAGCAGTGGTATTACAGGGGCCATTTTGGGGATCAATAAACGAAAGGTTGCAGCTAGTGCATCTCCTAGCTGTGACTGTCTCCCGCTCCAGGAGAACCCCTAAGTTGTAGACTGGACCTGTCTGGGGCAGAGCAACCCCATTCAGAGTCAAAGATGAAAAGTCCTTTGGTCTTGCCAGGGTTAAGTTGAAACAAGGCCACAGGGTGGCACTCTGAGGACACAATAAGAGCAGAGAAATACTGCTGTTTCACCATACTTTCCACCATGAGGTAGGCCTCAATAGTGGTTCTAAGTCATGTCTGGTCAGTCATCCTTTCTCTTCCTCTAGAGGCTCTCTAGGCATCTCCTGGCCCTTTTTAGAACTTGTAGCTCCTCTATGAACCACAAGGAGGGTCAGGAACAATGGAAGGCAGCACATGGAGCCACAAGAATATGTATATGTATTGCACTTAGTCATACATCATAACTTAAAAACCACAATGATGAGATGTGTACCATTGAATCCAATATAAACAATAAGCTACAGTATCTTTTTGTGCAGTGTGTAAATTCACTCTGCCTCTAACCCTTACACAAACACACAGAACCCTGTGCCATTTTTTCCTACTTAAAGAAGAGCAGTCCTTATTTTATATATCCGTATTTCAATCGTAATTAATTTTTTCTCTCATAATTGTATTAAATTGAAATGGAGTAATATCTGACTTTCAGGACAATTTCCCTCTCTAATGTTTAGAGCAATTGCCCTAAACCTTTAGTTTTCAACTCACCTCACACTCCCATCATTCACTAGTCACAGATTATTGGAAATTTAGGCTACAGATCTGGAAAAATCAAGCATCTAAATCTGCTTTAGGAGTTTTCCATGTGGATAATAGATACGTTACTTGTTCTGACCCAGACAGAACAGATTGCTTTAGTCCCATCCAGGACAGACAGATAACTCAATAGAAACAATTGCATAACAGAAATATATTTATTCAGAGGAATTACTTGCAATTATGTTGGTTGCTTCTGGATAATATGTCTCTGTTCATTTCCATAGATAATTTGATAATGGATTTCTGCATAAGCATCACATATTGGCATAGGAGCTCCAAACCGTGTGACTAGGAGACATGAGGCTGGATGAACAAAGGCATTCCAAACTGGGCACATAGCCAGTATGTCCTGAGAAGAGCTCAGAGGCTCCTCCTCCTACTGATCTGTTAACATGAGATAGCTAACTAGCTAAAACTACATTTCCCATAAGCCATCTCTTAAGAAGACAGCACTTAACCCAATAAATGCCAGATATTCTAACATACAGATACATGCTGTAGTCAGGGTTACCTAGAGTTACACGATCCAGAATATTACTACTCTGATGATAAGAATCTTGACTCAAATTATCTTCACCTTCATAAACAGGGAAACCATGTGAGTTAGTTGGAGATAGAGAAACTGCATTTATCTAATTTTCCCCAAAGCCTTGAAAAACTTCGTGAGATTATTCATTTACCTGTTAAAGGCAAACCAGTTCATTTTGAGGCTGAGCAAGCTTCTGATTCTCCATCTCTCTCTTTTTTTATTTTTTAACTTAAATATTTGTGAATGAGCAAAGAAACAGACATCTTCTTATTCCACTTTGTTAATTAGAAGGAATTGACTGTTTCTTTTTCAGGGATGTTAAATGTGGCAGGTTATATTGCACAGATGATTCAGCTGAAGAGAATTCATGCAAATTCCACTTTTTAAAAGAAAATCCAGATGTTGGAATGGTTGAACCTGGAACAAAATGTGAAGAAGGAATGGTTAGTAAAAGATTACCTTTTATCTGTCTGCTGGAAGATATGATTCCAATGGGTGATCACTGGAATAACTTTGCAATGGATCTTGCTGAAAGCTGATTTAGATTTTCTTTCTTTTTTGGTTCTATTTTTATTTTAAAACACAAAACTTCAATTTTTTTTTTAAAAAAAACAATGAAGAAAAAACAGAAAACAAGAGATTAAAAAAGAAAAAAAAGCCTAACACATAAACACATATTATCCCTCCTAGTTGAATACTGATTAATATATTACTGCAATATTATTTTCCCACCTCTTGAGAAACAGGCTCGAGAATTTTTTGAACTACTAAAATTATTTACAAATTATTAACTTGTCATCTATATACTATATTAATGACAAAATAATTAACACGAATAACAATAATAAAACAAGCAAAATTAAAGTTTCAAAACCATCTGCTAACAAACTGTTATTCTGATCAATGTGTAGAAAATTTACCACAGCATCTTATCTATCCCGAATTATCCCAGGAATTAACAGTGATTTGTCCTTGATCAAATATTCACATTTGTTTCTTAATACCATCTCTTATCAATCATTGTCTAGTTAAAAATAATAAATCCAATGTCCAAAGTTAGTCTATTTTCCCCAAAAAATACAGTTAAGTATGATAAATTCATTTCCCTAATCACTTTCAATCCTCCTTGGAAAAAACAATTTCCACTTAGATTGTAAAAAAAATGTGCATTGTTCAACTTCAGGGAACTATGTGCAATCAACTCAGTTCTAAGTCTGCATAGTCCATATTTATTTCCAACAATTTTGCTGCTTTCAAATCACATTCCTAATTTATTCAGAGCTACGTGTACATGGATATTTTCTGCAGCCATGATCATTTCATCAAAATTTAAGAAATAGATTGCGTGTTGCAAAATGGTCTTTCTTCACATATCAGCCGCAATTGCTTCTTTGTAATCTGATACATTGTTACTTTGTGTAACATAGCAATAAAAAATTATTCTAAACAACAACATAAATCAAAGAGAAAATGGAGAAAGAATAGATAAAACGTCCAGCAGGAGGTTAAAATAAATCAATATTCAGATACCTGGTCAAGTTATAAAGTAAAAGTGAAGTAAAACAAAAGATTCAAAAAGTAAAATTAAAACCCAGGCATGCTTAAGAAAACAAACTACCTAGAGGAAGACCGATGACCAGTGACTTTCTGTTCACTCTTTAAGACTACCCTTTGCAGGATCCATGGCCATCCAAAAGCCATCTTGGGTCATTCCTAAATGCTCCCATTCAAATCCAGGGAGCAGCACTGCCAAAGAATCAGCTTTGGCAGCAAAACCAGCAGATCAGGAAAAAGAAAAATTCCTACTATCCAGTAACAGTCTTGGGGAGGCACTGCTGATTTAGATTTTCCATACTACACTGAATCTATGTAGAAGAAAAAGTAAGCATCTAGCCTTATTTTTGTTTTGTTATTTTGTTTTTCCTTCAAAAAACAGTCATAACAAATGAGTTGAAAGTCCAGGGTTGTTTCTTCTAAGAACAAAATGCCCCACCTTCTTAGAGCATGGTGCTTCTCCTTGCAGCACTTTCTGGACGGTCCTTTCTCTTAACATGTAGGTATCCCCATAGGGAAGATGGAAGAGAGATGATAAATCAGGGCAGAGCAGTTGTGACCTAAAGGTCACCAGTTCAATGAAGGCATTTAAAAGTACTGAAGCAATTCTAAAGCTTTTCTTAAAAGATCAGGAATCACTTCTTCCTGTCTTTTTACACCATATAAAACCTGAAAGAAGCTTATTAAATATCTTGGGCTAGAGTTTAGTTGTGTAGGAAAGAGCTGCCTTACTCTATTGATAACCTTTGACATTGACTTTCAGGTCTGTGGCTTTGGGCAGTGTATTGACATAGAAATAGCCTTTGGATGAATCACTAGCCTCTCTCAAATTTGATTTTGGCAATCCTCCTTCCAGAAGGCTTGGCTTCCTTCAAGCCCAAAGAGACCCATCTTTCTTCATCATATTAGTAAATCAATCTTAACTTCTAGATGGCATCTAAAAATCTGCAATATTTCTTCTCCAAATTTAATCTGACTAACTGTTTGCTGTAATTAATCTTTTTTCCAGCCACAAAGCTTCATGGTATATGTGCTGCCAAGAAAAAATATTGGTTGTTTTACTTTTGCCAATTGCAAAACATGTTTTAATGGGAGAGGTTTTACTTTTGGTGCTGGCATATTCAAAGGCAATGCATTCTGTTCCAAAATTTTCTTTGTGATAATCAAAGATGTAGCTTCTTCCATCAATAAACAAATCTAATTCTGCATTTAGTAAAGGTTGATTTTCAAATTTGATCCTCTGGTGTAAACCACATCAAGAATCTGGATGCAAACATGAGGTAAATCATCAGGTTAATTATCTACTGGCATTAAAGAGGTTGGATTTTGCTCATTCAATCAGCCAGAAAATTCAAAAGGCTGATTTGTTCACATTCTGTCTCAGAAGGAATCCCTAACAATACATCATACACATATGGCAGTACAGAACAATTTGTTACTGGTTAGGGGGTGGGTGGGTCCATCTTAATAGGTCAGAGACAAGGGCTTTATCAAAAATGGTTGAACTATTTTCAAATCCTTGAGGTAACACAGTCCGGTTCCTCGTATGTGTTCAAGTGATAGAATCAAGATCAGGCGAAGTGTTAATACCATTTTATAATGCCTTGGTAATACTGAATCCAGTTTTGGTCTCCATGATGTAAAAAGATGTTGAGACTCTAGAAAGAGTGCATAGAAGAACAACAAAGATGATTAGGGGACTGGAAGCTAAAACATATAAAGAACAGTTGCTGGAATTGGCTATGTTTAGTCTAATGAAGAGAAGGACGAGGGGGGACATGATAGCAGCATTCCAGTATCTCAGGGGCTGCCCCAAAGAAGAGGGAGTCAAGTTATTTTCCAAAGCACCTGAAGAAGCAATGGATGGAAATTAATCAAGGAGAGAAGTAACCTAGAACTAAGAAGAAATTTCCTGACAGTTAGAACAATTAACCAGTGGAACAACCTGCCTCCAGAAGTTGTGAATGCTCCCACACTGGAAGTTTTTAGGAAGAGATTGGACAGCCATTTGTCTGAAATGGTATAGGGTTTCCTGGCTGAGCATGGGGTTGGACTAGAAGATCTCCAAGGTCCCTTCCAAGTTCATTATTATTATTATTATTATTATTATTATTATTATTATTATTATTATTATTTTGTTGTTGTTGTTGTTGTTGTCCGAAATGGTATAGGGTTTCCTGCCTGAGCAGGGGGTTGGACTAGATGACCTCCAAGGTCCCTTCCAACTCTGTCATTCTATTATTCAGTGTCAAACTGCTGGAAAGCAAACAATCTCTGGCTGTCTGCTTGAAGAGGGATGCAGAAACGGGTACCCTTTAAGTGCAATATAGCAAACCATGCAAAAGCAGGTGAAATCAACAACATCACAACACAAGGATTTGGCACTGTATGGTGAATTGTCACTGCGAGTAAATTGATAATTCTCAAGTCCAGATGAAAAGACACATTACTTTTTTATTTAGCAGAAATTGAACTATTCAAAGACGTTTTCCTGTTCTTCAGAAGATCATACTGTAGGAAATGATTAATGATTGGCCTCAGCCCTGCTCTAGCTTTCCCAGAAAAACCATACTGTTGACTTTGCACAGGTTCCTCTGCTGGTTTCAGGGCAATTTCCACAGGTTTATGATTCTATGACAATTCTAAATGCTGACTGCTAGTAAAGATTCTCTGGATTCAAAAGGGTACAGTAGCAAAGCCTGTATCTTAAAAAAAAAAGCCATAGCCTTAATAACAATAATAATAAATGATTGCCAAAACGGTAAGCATAATAATTCTTTGACAATTGTTTTGCCTTGCGTCTTTTGCCAGCATCTGATGGAAAGAAACAGAGAAGGAAATTAATGCCAAGGAGAATGTAGAAAGGAACCATTTTATTCCCTGATCTGTTTCTTTATTTCTTTGTTTTCTCTGCTTGTTTTGATTTTATCTTCCAAAGTTGTAAAGGGTCACGTGGTGCTTATGCAACATTAGAATTAGCGGCAGTCAAGGATGCAGACATTTCTCCTGCCAATATGAAAGAGAGAAAGCTTTGTGGCCACCATTTTGGCATTTTTATTATTAACCCACCCTGCAGATGCCCATAGCTGCAGTCAAAACTCATGAAAAACACTGGATATTGTTAATGGTGGTTCTAATTGGGGGAGAGTTTCATAAATGAATAACAAATGGAGTCATAAAGAGCCAGTTTGGTGTAGTGGTTAAGATGCTGGTCTAGAAACTAGGAGACTGTGAGCCTATTTCTGGCATGAAAGCCAATTGGGTAACTTTGGGCTTCTTTCTTAGCCCAGCTGATCTCACAGGGTTCTTGTTGGGGAAAATAGGACAGGAAAGAATATTAGGCATCTGCACAACCTAGACTTATTTATAAAAAATAATAAATACAGAGATAAAATATAAATAAAAACTAGAAATCAAGAACAAAACATTTGGCCACATATCATATAAATATAAGAGAAGAACAGACATGCCAATTCTCATGCCAATTCAACACTGACCATTAGTTGACTAGAATGTTGTGTACAGTGGCATGAGTAAACCCTTTTGTGCCTTGAATTCAATGGCTTTTTTTGATTAATTGTGCCTGCATTGTGTTGAATTCTAACATGACATGGTCACCTTCTGCCAAAGTTCCTCAGCTTCTATCCCCTCTATCATTCCATCTCCTTAATAAGAATTAAGTCTAGTACAGCTAACCAGCTCTTAATTAAAACAACCCTCGAACCTGGGCAGTCTACATGCTAGGCAGTTGTATTAACCACCAGGGTGTGGCTAGCTGATGAGGACTAATGAGTCCAAAATAGCTATACTAGTCTCCCACTTAAATCTTTAACTCTTTGTCAGCAAAAAGAAATCTGAATTTGTAATGTATCACAGTTGCGACTTGAGCCTGCTTAATGCCCCTAGTTGGGGGGCTGCAAGGCAAAAGAGATTCTAAAGAAGGAGAATTGCAGTATAGCAGTCAAAATGCGAAGGTGCAATCAATCAGACCGGTCTGAAAAACTTTCTATATCTATCTATTTATCTATCTATCTATCTATCTATCTATCTATCTATCTATCTATCTATCTATCTATACATACATACACACACACACACACACACACACACACACACACACACAAAGTTTTATTAGTTTATTGCATATGATACAAAGAAAATACAAAAGGTAGGGAAGGGAAAGGGAATAGAAAAGTGAGGGAAGGGAAGGGAAAAAAAGGCAATGACTTCCAACTTCCTTTGGTGCAGTAAAATAGAATATCAACATCAAACCTCAGCTTTTTAGTTTTACAAAATAGTGTAAACTAGCCATTTCGACAACAACAAATCTATCAAATAGATAAAGCCCCAAATCAAAATTTCATTTTTTTTCACCTCAAGCGCAAAGTCCAGAACTGGTTCCCACATAGCAGTAAGAGTATTCATGTTGTTTTCTTTAAGCAGTACAGTCAGTTTAGTCATCTCTACTAGATACACCAGTTTTTGCAACCATTCCTCCCTTATGGGAATCGATTTGGTCTTCCATCTCTGAGTATATAACATCAAGGTTCCCTTTTTTTTTTTTCCAGGTCTCTGTTCATTAGCCACCAAGGAAAAATTCTGTTTTTTTTTTCTATTTTCACTTTAAGAATTTTATGTATTAACATATGAATCCTACTCCAATATTTTCTTGCTTTATCACATGTCCACCATAAATGGTAAAACTCCCCTCTTTTCATTTACATTTCCAACATTCATTTCAAAAGCCTTTATCCATTGTTGATAACTTAACTGGTGTTAAATACCAATGTACATCATCTTGTAAAACTTTTCTTTTAACTAATAGTTTAATGTAAATTTTAATCTTTTATTCCACATATTCTCCCATTGTTCAAGCATTACATTATACCCAAAATCCCTTGCCCACTGAATCATACTTGTTCATTTTCCAGATTTGAATTCAATAACATTTTATAAACTTTAGCAATGATATATTCATCACGACCACACAGTAGGATTTCCAATTCATTTTTAATAAAATTAAACCCATGATTCTTTTTGCCTAGATTAAATCTTTCTTTCAATTGCATATGAATGAACCAATGGCAGACATGACATTGTGATTCTAGCTTCTCCTTGGATCTGAGGGTAGGCTCCCCCAAATTAAAATTAATTATTTCACTATAGATCCACCAATTGGGCCTCATCACCATCTCTTTTCTAAAAAAAGGCTTCTTGTGGGGAAACACAAAGTCGCACCTTCACAGAAGACCTTGTTTTAAATTTATTCCAAACTCTCAAAATGGCATGTCTAACAAAATGATTGTTGAAATCAACACTTTAACTTTATCAAACCACAAGTAACCATGCCAGCCATACCTTAATTCATGGCCTTCAGAAAAAGAGTTAGATAGGATATCAACTTTCAAAATTCTATTTGCTACATTTTTTAGAGGTCCATCTCATGTCAATCTTTGAAAAAGATTTATGCCTTTCTGAAAAAAAGCTACATTCTCTTGCCGAGCCATTTTTATGCCTCCATGAGTCTACTAGCATTAGATTGCCCATCATTTCAAAGAATGTCTTTGGCAATTTACCCTGGGAGGGTTTGATCCCTCTAATAAATGTTCTATCCCAAAGTGGAAAAGTCACACCATTCCAATCCCCCACATAAGCCAATTTTCATATGAAAAAGGCAAGAGTTGGTCAAAGAAATTGCTTTTCCCTCTGTTGGCACATAAAGACCAATCACTATTGATTTTGTTTCATTAAATTCAATTTCCACCATTACAAATCTTCCATATTCATTTGATCAAAGTAGCCTAGGTTTAAATTGGGGTTTTATATATAACACCACTCAATCAATCTTTTTTAGCCCAGCAGATATAAAATCCTCCCCATGTCTTTCATTTGTTCAATATTTCTGGTCTTGTTTTTAATATGTGTTTTGTGAAGACAGATTATAAGAGCATTAGGTTTTCTCAAATAGTGAAATACTTTTTTACGCTTTAGATGGGGTTTTCAAGAAGAGATTGGACAGCCATTTGTCTCTAACGGTACAGGGTCTCCTGCCCTGGGCAGAGCATGGAAGAGAAGACCTCCAAGGTCTCTTCCAACCCCATTGTTCTATGTTCTATGATTGCTCTCGGTTATCTGCAACGGACAATAGGTTGTAATTATATTATGGGAGCTGCACAATGTGGGTAGAGCTGATATTCAGTGGTCTCCAGGGACAGATCCTGGTTCCAAAGACTTAAATCTGGCCCTTCTTTCTTTGATGCCTACTTTCCAAGAAAAATAAGACTTTAATCCCAGTGCAACAATGCTATAAGTGTATTGGAAATGGCTGCTGCAAGGAGACACTTCTTCTCAAATACAGTAAACTTCATCCTCTTTGGAAACATTTTACTGACAGCTCATGAATGACAAATGAGACCTTGTTCTCCTTCCTTTTCTATTGATTCAGGAGTCTGTGCCCATACAAATATTTCCAGTTTTTCTTGCCTTGCAGAGAGGTTTCTATCAACTGATGAGTGGGGTGAAACGGATATTAACTTCCTGGAGAAAATACATCTCTGAGGTTGTCTCACTAACTTTTTTTTTAAGGTTAACTTACAAAAAGGAAGGATGGTCCCAGCATGCTTTGAATCATCTGCAAATCTACAGAGGTCTATTCTAGACTTTCCAATGAATTTTAACATTTATTTTACTTTGGTATCTATTTCAAAGGCCAGTGTGATATAAATTAAGATGTTGGAATGGACTCAGGATAGCCATTTTTAGGTCTCCAGTTACCATGCATCTCACTGGATGACTTTGGACAATTATTTTTCTTAGCCCAGACTAACTCCCAAAATTGATGCTGTGAGGATAAAATGAGAAGTGATGTCACTTGAGCTCCATGGAGGAAATGAGGGAGATGAATGTCAGAGAATAAAATAGATTCTTGAATATAGCTCTTATGCAGCAATTTTCTTAGATTTCATTGATGAGTTTTCTCTTTATATTTCTTCTCTTTGACCAAGATAATATTATTTGATTTAGTTCCTAATAACTCCTAGATTATGACAATAGATAATAAGACACCAGCAACTACAACACAAAATCCACAGGTAAATAGAATAAAAAGGGAAAATATAATTGTTCTAAATATCTAAAATAGATTAGAGTAAATATGGCATTCTGTACAAATTATAGGACAGTACTTGGCTATGGTCAAGGAAATAAAATTAGATTGATCCAATAATAACAACAACATCTTGAAATAAAGCACATCAGAATGATCAGATTATTTATTAAAAATAGAAATAATAATTCTTGGCAAGCACCTGAATAGAGAGGACAATCCAGAATAATGAAAACTGAGATCAGACAATAATTATTTAGAGAGTATTAATCTGAATCACCTGGAAATGAAGAACAATTGTCATGGGGAGAAATATGTGGTGATCTTGAAGTTTCCTTGTCTACCAACATACGTGTGATGATCTCTCCTTCAGAAGTAAAATATAGAGCTACAGAGAGACAAATTAATGGAGAAGAGTGAGGTTATTCAGTTGAGTAGCAGCTATGAGGAAGACTCACATACCTCCTTGTTTCTAAATGAAGAGATGGTTATTTTGCCTTTGTCCTCTTGGAATGAAGCTGCTGTTTCTATTGTGGGCTTTCTTTCTCCCAAAATTGCCAAACAGACTAATCAAAAGTAGATTTTCTTCTTTTTATTCACCAAAGATTTCTGCTTTGCCTTTAACAGGAGGGTGGGTAGCGCCCCTTTTTCCACACTCGTCTTTCTATCCCAGGTGGAGACAAAAGGAGAGATTATAAGGGAAAGTGAGTCCTCTTAAGGCAATTGAAATGATTCACTCTGCTCTGTGATTCATCTCAGAGTTCCCCTTCAAATAGCCTTTATAGGATAACAGGGATCATGGAGATCTTCTAGTCCAGCCCCCTGCTCAAACAGGAGATCCTATACCATTCCAGGCAAAGGGTTGTCTAATTTCTTCTGAAAAACTTCCCATGTGGGAACACCCACAATTTCTGAAAGCAAGCCATCCCACTGATTAATTGTCTTCACTCTGAATGCATATTATTGCAGCTGACATTTGCATCAATGTATAAATGCCCTGTTTCAGAAAAGGGAGGTCCTGTTGAAGGAAGAGACAACAAAAGTTCTTGAGTTCTCTACAAAGTGAGAATCAAGTATGGCACAGAGGGTTTTTTTCCCCCCTGTAGTGAAATCAGGGATCCCTTAGGCAAATGCATTGAATGGATTCAGTCTATGCTAGCAATATTGAAAGGAGGCTAGATTGCTCCCAAAGTGCCTCTTACTCACAAAATATTGTAAAAACCAACTCTTGGCATTTAAGACCCCATGCACCAGAGGCCCCAAATTTAGTTATATTAACATGTGAGCCAGGGAAAGGTCTGCTGTGACCAATTAATAGCCTCCTTTGGGCCTTTTCTTTGGGGATGCCTTGAACGAACCCTCCTAGCTGTCATTTTTGGAGTGACATGTGGTAAGCCGGCTGGAAAACTGCCCTCCAGTAGTATTGTTACAACTCAGAATTGTATAAATCCTTTAGCAAACGCCTTCTCATATGAGGGCATGAATGAAGCTGAAGGACTCATTCCTTGCTTCTCATAGTCAACAGAGGAAGAGCTCAGATTGGCTTGGAAGCAGGAAGAGATTGCCTGTCTTCCAGCCAAATCCAGCCTCCAAAATGATTCAGGTTCTCTTGGTAACTATATGCTTAGCAGTTTTTCCTTATCAAGGTAAGATGTTCTCTTTGGTTCCTTGTTCAGAATTTTACTGCTAAAAGACTATTACACCCAACAGATTGCTATGTTGATGGGTTTTATTTTGGGTTTTATTTTTGACAATTAACCAACATTTGTTCCACTTCAGTTTCTACAGATTTAGCCAAAGAATGGTCTCAAGGATCACATTTGTTGTAAAGATACAGAAATGGTTTCTTGGTATTTGCTTAAATTTTGTCAAGCCACAAGCAGATCGTAAGAAAGAAAAGTCCTAAGATTGTATATTATTCAGCCAAACAAAAGCTAGTGCTATTGTGGTTGCAGAGATTCTTCAGACTGTACTTAAATAATATGACACTAACTTTTCTCAATGCAAGATTTTGAATTATCTTAAATTATTTCTCCCCTCCTTTCCTTTTACTCTGCAAAAAACCAGGGAGATTCCTCTCTGAAAATTTTCCCATGTTCTCCTTCCTTCCTTCTTTTTACCTACTGGTTGACTAGTTTGTGACTCTTCTTTCTGTCTCCCAAATCATTCCCACATATCATTACAAACAATGATACTCAATTGATTCAGAAGTTGCCAAACACAATTAAGAGTCAGAGTCTCACTGTGGTAGCTCTGTTTTTTTTTTTAAAAAAAAATAGCAAGGAAAGATGGGGACTACCTTACTGGGGTAATTTATGGAGAGCATAAGAAAGAGAGATGGAAGGGAAATTACTGCTTATTCAGTGCTCTAAGTAAGAGAGGAATAGTAAGCTTGCTTGCTAGTAGGTGGAGTTGAACCCATCCCATGATTCTGGGAGCATCAGGTACAAATGGGTAGGTACATAAATAAGTATGAGGAAGATGTATTCTTCTGTGTGGGGCTGCCCATAACTGAGAAGACACGTTTCCAGGTCCAAATCTCTCTCTCTCTCTCTCTCTCTCTCTCTCTTCTCTCTTCTCTCTCTCTCTCTTCTATAGGTATTTGACAAGCAGTTTCTTCCCCAAACCCTGTGGTTATTGATATTTCAGTTTATTGTTTTTTTTCCACTTGCAACTATAAGCACAATCTTACGCCCTCCCTTCCATTAACCTGCTAACAAATCTTGGTCTCAGTTGTGATTGTGCATCCAAGAGGATCTTCAGGTGTCAGACGGCCATTTTTACAAAATAAGTTAAGGAATAAATAGCAGGTGACCCTTCAATGTCCATATGGGGGCCAACTCTAAATTTTTCAACTCTTGGTCTAATTTTGAATTCAATGAATTATGTACATGTTGTTAGGTGCCCCAGTGATAATTATGATGCTGTGGGCTGTCCATAGATTCTTCTGAAAGTGAAAGAAAGGAAAGTCAGAAAAACTATTAGGATGGCAGTGAGATAGCAGTTCAACTGAAGGGAATTCCTAATAAGCTGCATTTGCATAAAAATTTAAATTTGCCTAGCTTTTTGACTAATGGATATGCTAAACCAATTACTGAATTGTATGAATCACATTATATTGATTTACTATTTCTGGTGTTATCCTTATCACTCAGTGCACAAACCTGCACATTGGTTGAGATTTATTTATTTATTTTATGATTATTCAGGCTCTGAAATGTTTCTTTTGCACCTGCCCAAAGCAAGGTCTCCAGTTAGACTTCCAGCTCCCAAACCTCATTCAGCAAATTGCATTCCCAGAGAAAATCTGGATTTCCATGCTGTGTCCCACTAGAAAAAGATTTCATTGTTCACTGATAACTGAATAACAAATTGTGTTGTGGGTGTGAGAATGGTAGAATAACATCCCAAAGCAAACCAAAACTTTCTTTTCTTTTTCCTTACAAAGGGAGCTCTATAATCCTGGAATCTGGGAACGTTAATGATTATGAAGTAGTGTATCCACGAAAAGTCACTGCATTGCCCAAAGGAGCAGCTCAGCCAAAGGTAAGAAAAAGATCTTTGTTTCATCAACACATGATTTCTTGTCAGCCACAGAAATTTTTATATTCCTTTGCTGCCATCTAACGCTTATCTGGATTTTGCATTGCAGTCTATGTTCATGCTTGAATTATTTATTTATTTATTTATTAAACAAATTTATATGGCCGCCCAATTCATACCAAATTGAGGAGACTCATGGCAACTTACAAACAGAATTTCCTAATATTTATAGGTTAGTATAACTAATAAAATATTGGGAAACACCCAGCCAAACAGTGAGGAGGGATCGAGTGGGGAATTAGTCATTTCATAGCTGCAACAGATTCAGGACTGACATCGCCCCCCCCCCCCCAAACCAGGAAATTCCATTAAAGTTTATCTATCTGTTCTGAAGAGAAGGGAAGCAGTCTAGGGAGATTCCTGTATTATAGGCAGAATACAATAAAGTACTTAATTTAAAGTCTACATGTGTGGATCGGATTACTTGTGCCTAACATAAATTTACTGTTAACAGGCAACTTTGAGGGATTTCTTCTTCCTTTTTGTGCTCTTCAGTCATCCTTCACAAAAGCTGTGACAACTGTGAACCATGAGATTTCAAATTATCCTTTCTAGCTTCCAAGAATGCATTACTTTGAAATATAAAAGTTGTGTTTCTAGGTGAAGATGGTATAGTGATAATGGTTACAGCTCCAGATTAGGACTAAGAACCAGATGACTTTTGAGTCAGTCCCTCTGTCCCAGCTCAACCTCATTCACCAAGATGTTCAATTAGAGAATAAGATCTTGAACTTATGCAGGAAAGTTCATTTAACAGCAACAGATGAAATACTCTAAATCTAATGAATAATTTTGCTATTTCAGTATGAAGACGCCATGCAATATGAATTTAAGGTGAATGGAGAGCCAGTGGTCCTTCACCTGGAAAAAAATAAGTATGTTAACTCAGACTATTTCTTAACTTTACTTGGTTAATGTGGAAAATGTATATTCCTGGACAGAATCCAAGAGAAATAAAAATTGCATTCCTTTGTTTGGAAATTAAAACTAAATTAAATGTTACTGTGTAGGAAAATTTCACTACTCTTTTTTTTAAGGATGCCATGTGGGTATTCTCAATGATGTTCCATTTGAATTGTAAATTAAGATATGAATAAAAATATAATGCAAATGTAAGCCACAGAAATGGAATGAAACTATTTTTCAGCACAAAAGACAAACATAGTTGGAAGGGACTTTGGAGGCCTTCTAGTCCACCACCCCCCCCCCCCCGTTCAAGCAGGAGACTATACCATTGCATAGCTGTCCATTCATTCCTTGAAAACCTCCAGTGATGGAACACCCACAACTTCTGAAGGCAAGCTATTCCACCGATTAATTGTTCTCAGTCTCAGGAAATTTCTCTTAGTTCTAGGTTAGATTTCTCATGTGTAAATAAACCACGAACACCACTAAAAGGAAGGGTGCCATTTTCAGTACCCTGAAACCTGTATATGCCATATCACAGTTTAAATTAGTACGGCAGCCACTACACTGTAAATATGTCTCGGCAGCCTGGTACCATTGAATACTAGTGTTAAGACTGAGATACATAGTTGGTGCATTGGGAATGACTGCCTGGCTTTGATTGTAAAATGTATTTTGGTTTTGACCATTGTATATGTGTCTCTAAATGTATATTGTCATTGTTATTAAGTATAAGCTATAAAGAAAATGCCCTATATATAAGTATCTGTGAGTAACTTTATCCTATACCACTGGAGACATTTGATGATAAATTCTAATGTGTGCTTTAGAAGTTCTAGTGTCCCCTTTTGTTTATATATGAAAGCTGTACAGTAGCATCTGGATGATCTTGTTTTGGCATGGAAGCAAAGCAGGGCTACAGGGGGAAGACCAGCAAGGATTTCCAGATTGGAAAAATGTAAGGCAATGATGTGACATCAGGAGTGGAAAGTGACTCCATATACTGGTTTAAAACTTCAAGAGAGATGCTTCTGTATGAAGGTTCAAGGCATCCATTTCCTTGAGGTGGCTTCATTTTGCTCTTTAGTAAATAGAGCTATACTGCTCTTGTTTATAGACCAAGCAGTTCCCTCAGAGTGTTTTATAGATCAGAAGAATGAGAAGAAGGGGCAATACAAAATGTCTTCTTCTGGTAAATCATATTACCTCTGAGCCTTGATGAAGAGGATTCTTTGTGTAAATCTCTTTCTTCAGGTGAATCTAGTATGCACTGCCCGCCTCTCAAAATAGCCATTCTCATGGGATTGAAATACCTGCTCCATTCTTTTGATACCAAGCAAGATGTTTAAAATGCCATTATACAGAAATTGTAAACTTATTATAAAATTATCTCAGTCCTACTTAATTCCTGACATAGATATTCTCTTCTTTGCAGAGGACTTTTTTCAGAAGATTACAGCGAGACTCATTATTCCCCTGATGGCAGAGAAATTACAACATACCCCACAGTTGAGGTAGGGTCTCACTTTTAAGAGTCTTGCTTTTAGGAAATAAATTGAAATAAATATTTGTGCACAATATTACAAATATACAAGAACGAGACCAGGCTACTCAAAAAAGAAGGGCTATATATGTATGAAGTATTTTATATTGATATGTTCTTAGAAGGATATATGTATTGTTATACCCAGCTTGTTTTACTCATTGAATTACCATGGCAGTATTTCAATCATCCAGTTCTTTCTTACTGGTCAAAAATCAACATTTGTAGGAGTGAGTTTTCATTTATAAACCAGACTACAGGAATACATGCAAAGTCTTTTATTTGTAATAGCAAAAGTGATAACAATTCACTTTCCTCCTATATAGAAATCCATAAAATATCTTTCACATTAAAAGGGTTCAGAACATGGCCTGCCAACTGCAAACATATGACAGCACCAGGTTTTTTTTTTCTCATAGAACACCCAGAACGGAGTTCCGGCACCTTTTTTGGATGGAACCTTGTAGGGTAGGCAAGGCGGGTTGTGTGATGTGTGTGAGTTCCGGCACCTTTTTTTTTTTTTTTAAAAAAAGCACTGGACAGCACTAACATGCTTTGTGAAGTCCTTGGCTCCTTGCCCCCAAACTGACCTAAACGTGCATCCTCTGTCTCCAAAAATTATCTACTTCTGGCTTAGCGTCTTCAAAGGCCATACAAATTGCTCCTATTTAGTGTGTAACAAACATATCTTGATTTTAATGTCTACATGGATCCTACTTCCAGATAATGCTAGGAATTATATCTCTTGGCATATTTCTGAAAGCTTTCCTTGTGTCAGCTCAAAGGAATAACGATTATCTGATATCATTGGTAAATGTGGAATTTTCCATACATTATGGTAAGATTTCAGAATGTAGGACAACCATCAAGTCTGAAAGTTTCTTCAGCAAATCCTGTGGTTCAGCACTAGAGCTGACCTCCAAGAAAACATTTTATATTTGTGTGTTGGTTGTCTGCCCAAAAGTTCTTAGCTTTGTGCCATCAGTGGGACTCCCCCTGCAGTGTGACTTGATTTATGGAGACTTGCATTTATCCTATGTTCATTTTGCAACAATCGATATTAAGTAGGTCTTCTGTCCCCCTGAATCAAAATTTTCTGAATAACTGCTGTCTTAATATTTCATTGATGTGGTGGAATACATTGGAACTGTACTTCTGCTCATCAAATCACACTACAAACCAGCTTTAACCAGTGGAGTCCTCTTGCCTCCCTACAGGATCACTGCTATTATCATGGACGCATCGAGAATGATGCTGACTCAACTGCAAGCATCAGTGCATGCAACGGTTTGAAGTAAGATAATCTCTAATCTTTTATTTATTTTATTAAGAATAATATATTGCTCTTGGAGTTGTCACAGTTAAAATGGAGGACATGAGTTTTTCATGCAAATGAGTTGGGTGTGATCCAAGACTTCTGCAGAATTAAGAAAGACTTTGGTTGAATACCAAGAAGAGCTGCTGACAGCCAGTAGAGACACTAGGGAGCTAAATCAGATGTGTCTAAAGAAGCTTCCAAGCCCCTGACTCCTGTACATATAGGAAGTGATGTTACAGGTAGAGAAGATAAGTAGGTTTCAGATAGCATACCTTGCTAGAAAGTGTACAGGAACAGGCAAGCAGACTCTTCAGTTCTACCCAGAAACACTTTCTTGAGCCACTTTGCACACCTTCTCCAACCAGCTTGATATCTTAGCCACATAAAGATCCCAAAATTCAGAAGGTCCTTATCATTAGTCAGAATCAACGTCCTCTCAACATCTGTCACTGAAGGAAGACACTGAAACATCCCCTTTGAACAGAGTCTGTGTCCATGCAGTAGAGGAATAAATGAAAAGATGGAACATAAAAGAAAAACAACAGAATAATAAAGGAAAAACAGAATGACCGTATAACAGCATTGGAAGGGACCTTGGAAGTCTTCTAATCCAACCTCCTGCTCAAGTAGGAGACCTATATCAATTTAGACAAATAGATGTCAGTCTCTTGTTAGAAAGCAGTAGTGATGGAACACCCACAACATCCGAATGTAAACTTTTCCACTGGTTAATTGTTCCAATTGTCTGAAAATTTCTCCTTAGTTCTAAGTTGGTTCTCTCCTTTCCATCCATTGCTTCTTCTCCTTCCATCAGGTGATTTGGAGATTCAGTTGTCCCACAATTTTTTGTGACAGCTCCTTTAATATTGAAAGGCTATCATGTCATTTCTACCCCTTGTCGTTAGCCTGAATGTACCCAGTTCTTGCAACCATTCATCATATGTTTTAATCTCCAGCTCCTTGTTAGTCTGCACTGTTATTCTTCAGTGTTACTCATGTTATTCTGCATATCTATGAAAATGCTTGCCAGGAATTCTTATTTCCATTCTTTATTAAATATCCTGGTCATCCTGTCTCTTATCTTAAATTGCTATCAGATCAATCTGCTTTTATTTCCTTGACCACAGCCAAATAATGTTCTATACTTTGCAAAGTAAATTGCAGTATTTCCTCTAATTCCTTTTAGATATTTTAGAACAGTTATATTTGTCCTTTTTATCATAATTAGTTGTGATTCTTCAGCTTTATCTGTTGGTCATCTATATATGATAAATATAAAGTATTTCACCCTTATGAGATAAAGTTTTACCCAAAAACAGAATATTTCAAATAGCTTTAGTCTTGTGTTTTTATAGCTAGAAACTTTATTTTTTTAATATCCTAAGAAATATACAATGTTGGATTCCATGCCAAGTATCTCCAAACAAATACTATACAAATATTTCATGTTTGCATTGAGTGTGTGCAATCTCTTATATCTATCTGTTCATAGCTGTATCTTTGAGAGGTATGGGAAAGGGATATGAGTACTGAGGAAAGAAAATAAAAAATTCAGTGAGTGTTAAGAAGGGATTCAAAAACACAGGGAATGTTGACTTGGTTAGTTAAAAATGGGTCTCAGAGCTGAGTTTCATTACCCAACTAGGTAACATCATCAGTGCAGGTTATCTCTGAACTAACAATATTCTCTTCTGTCGCTTCTCCATCTCTGATCACCTTTTCCCACATTGTTTTACAGAGGACATTTCAAGCTTCAAGGGGAGATGTACCTCATTGAACCCTTGGAGCTTCCCGACAGTGAAGCCCATGCAGTCTACAAATATGAAAATGTAGAAAAAGAGGATGAGGCCCCCAAAATGTGTGGGGTAACCCAGAATTGGGAATCATATGAGCCCATCAAAAAGGCCTCTCATTTAGATGTTACTGCTGAAGTAAGTCTCATAGTAAACATAGTTTGAGAACAGGGATTCATTTACTTGTTTCTAAAATATAAAGTAAGAGAGAAATTCTTTAGATAGAATTCAAAAGGAAGGACCCCCCCATTTCTATCTTTTTTATTCTAGCCATGGTATAAAAGAAATAATGGAAACTTGATGAACGGAAAATATATGTTTCAGGCTTATAGCATTTTCTTTGGTCATACAAACTTAGTTTGGAGATTTGAATCAAAATGGATTTAAATGAATCTCCAAATCATCTCCACTTCCTAAGTCAATTTTGAAAAGTAATCAAATTATCAATTTGGATACCTCTTTTATGCATGCAGAGAGGACTTGGGATAGGGGGCGAAACTGGTTTGAAATATTTAACGGGTTTGAGGTTTGTGATAAGATCATTATATCATCTTGACTCCATTTTCCAATTTGATTTGAATCATCAAGTTATATTAGCAATAATTGAATCAAAAGTGACAAAATGAATCTGGTCACAATTGACTTTCAAATTCCCAATATTTTCCTTCTTTACTGGAATAACAAGAATTAGAAAATAAAACATTGCATCCAAAGTAACAGTTCCTTCCTTTCCTTTTGGTGGCAAAAGATAAAACTGCCTGATATATATCTAGAAATTCAAAATCTCAACTTTTTTAATTAAAATGTTAAAATTGACATGGAACAACAGTTGTTCTTCCAATGGAATACCAAAACTGATTTTGAAGTCTGGCTGAAATATATCTAGAAGTTCAAAACCTCAAGTTTTCTATTAAAATATTAAAGTTGACATGAAACAACAGTTGTTACAATGGAATACAAAAATACAAGTTCAGATACCAAAATTGATTGTGAAATCTGGTTTGGCTTTTGGCTTCATCGTTTCTGGCATTTCAAGAATCTTTATCCTCAGCAAGTTGTGGTTATATACATTAATTGGTCCTCTATCTTGAATGTTCTTGTCTCAATGTCAAATCATGATCACTTTATTCAAACTGGATCTTGTGCAGCAGAGTTAAGAAAGTGGCTGTCAGAGAGCAAGGAGAGAAATTGCACTCTGGAATTGGCAATTTGGCCTTGTAGTTCTGTATGCTGAAAAAACAGGAGTACACTTTCCTAGGGAAAGAAGCAAGTAATGCACACTCACACCTTCAGGTCTTAGCATAAGTCTACTTCCCCAGCAATCTGGGTACTCTAGTGGTGGAATCTAACAGGGGAATGCAGGAGGGAGGGGCTCTTTCCCAGGGAAACAAGAGGCAGATCAGCAATGAGTCTTTGGATGGCAGAAAGAAGCCCTGAAGGGATCCTCCCTAAAACCTTCACAGGTGTATCTCATGGTTGCACACACAGTGTGCTTTAGTCTGGCAAGATTCCCATCTATACGAGAACAGCAATAAAGAAACTACTCTGAGCAATTAACCATGTTTTCTTGTTCCTTCTGCCTGAGAGGTCTGAAGCAATATTTCAGTAATCATTTTAAAATTACATCAAAAGAAAGGCATAATTATTTGGCCATTTAGAGTGAGTTCAGTGGGTCAAAATGTCTGATTGCCTCCCCTTACCTTCTCTTTGATGCATAGTGTGATATGATTGTAGACAAGATCTAATTGGTTCCATAGCATGACCACATCATCTTGTTTCTCATGTGATTGGTTGGGATCCTTTGTTCGAGAAAGGGAAGGAAAGGTGAGAAAGTCATTGGAGCATCGTTTAGACAGGCTGAAAAATGGGTCAAAGAGAGCAATTTTCTCATGTGCCTGTTCTTATTCCTATTAAATTGTGTTCAGAATTAGATACTCATATATTTCTTTATCTTTAAATGTAGGCATCATAAATTCCAAAAACAGATTAACTGGAAACAAGGGCCACACCTTATTAATAGAAAGAAAGTGATTTTTTTAAAATGAAACCACTTTTGTTTCTGCTTGACAATCCATTGCATAATGTATTTTTTTCCTCAAAGCTTTGTCAGCACTTTTCCCAACCTTTCCAGTTTTGCGGACAAGTGGGGGGGAGGGGATGGTTCCATGTGAGCAGTGGGGTCATGCATGCACCCAGCTCTATTTGTGTGAGCAGTGAGCACACACACCCACTCATGCAAATGGAGCACACCCGCCCATGCTCACTCGTTGGACATGCAAGTGGAGATGTGGGTGCTCACCTGCCACTTCCATGGCCCAGTTCCAAAGGCCCAGAGCTAAAATGTTAACAAGCTGTCTCCCTGTAAATATCTTCTTGAAAGAACCAATATTTCTGAAAGTTCAAGTATTTTGATCAGAGAGTAAAACAAGCATTTTTCTGATTATCTGATGATGACCAACATTCTTGTTGGCTGCTGGAAGCAACATGTCTAAACAGCCTTTTCTTTATTGTTCTGCTTAGCAACAAAGATACTTGAATGCCAGAAAATACGTGAAGCTTTTCCTAGTTGCGGACTACATAATGGTAAATATCCTGGATATCTTTCCATTTTCTTTCTGCATTGAGCACAGCATTTTGTTTCTGCCTTTTTTAATGTGGGCATTTTTGAAGACATTAACAAACATTCTAACTGGCTTTCTCTTAAAATGTGCTTTATCATAAACTGTGATATTTTTTGTTATTGGATCCAGCAAATATTTACAAAGTTAAGAGACATTTGTGAATGTACTCTAATTTGCACATTTGTTCTTCCTGGATACCATCTAAATTTATTTTTATCCCACACTGGTTAAACAATTCAGTAGGTTTCTTTGAAACATTTCTGCACTCTTTGTTTATCCAAGTTGACAACACACAAAGAAAAAGATGTATAGTGAAGAATGCTTATCTCACACATCTCTGAACATGGAAATATAGCATCCAATTTAGGAAAGCATTTTAATAGGCTGACTAAAATTTTCTCCAACCAGGAAAAAAGCCCATGTATGCTGCTGAAAAGTTAAAAACTTTACTATATTAATGGTACAAATGTAGATTAAAAAATCAGCACAAAAAATTCTTTGGACTGCTTGGATAAAAATTATGATTACATCAGCAAACTCAATGATTCTTTCACTGATATGTCATTTCTCTACCTTCTTCCTATAATTATGATCTCATCTTAACGTTGTTGTCTTTTCTATAGTACTTGAAATATGGCCGCAATTTAACTGCTGTAAGAACAAGAATGTATGATATTGTCAACGTTATAACTCCGGTAAGAGGACACGGTAAATATTATTTCACTTATTGAATTTAAACTAGAAGATGGATTTCTACAAGAATGCTAACTTTTGTGGCTTTGTGTGAGGCAAAACTAGATCATTTGGCCAGCTGGTGATCAAGCATGTGAGGCCATCTCAGAAAATGGGTTAATTCAGTAACTAGGTTAATAAGCCTCTTATGAGAATACAGCCACTGTGTTGGGAGGATGCAAATCCAAAAGTGTTGCAAGAATTCAATCAGAACTATATCTGTAGCTGGATTCTTTCAGGCTGTGTTTAATGGTTCTGAACTGGGAGATTAGAAAGAGATGGACAGAGTCAGCCTATTCCAAGCTCAGTTGATTATGAAACTGATCCCCGAGAAGAAACCTGGAGAGAGGAAGTCAACTTGACTTGGATTGTGGTTACTTAGGAGGAGATACACCCGTATTGCAGTCTTCTGTTAGCCTTGTTTACATTTTCACTGTGGATGATCAGTTAGAAACAGGGAGACAACAGGAAGATTGATGAATCAACTCTCATCAACATTATTATTACTGCCCAATATATAGAGTCCTTAGTGCTGTCTGAGCTTGGTGGTGTCCTTGCAGACATTTCATTATCTGACTACTCCACATGAGTAAGCAAAGCTGCAAACTCAGAGCACCCAGGACTTCAACTTTGAGCTCCAGAGATTTCTCTTCTATTGATGCCTAGGTCTATTTTTTTTTCACCTGCTTGTAGAAACCAATGACAGTTGCCTCTTAATCTTGAAATGTTTCTCAAGGTTTACTTGTGTTTAAGTTTCTGATTGATGCCATTTCCACCTGACAGATTTACCATCGTATGAATATTCATGTAGCACTGGTTGGCCTAGAAATTTGGTCCAACACAGATAAAATTATCGTGCAGTCATCAGCAGATGTTACTTTGGACTTATTTGCAAAGTGGAGAGCGACAGATTTGCTGAGTCGCAAAAGTCATGATAATGCTCAGTTACTCACGTAAGTCTCATTGTGGGGAAAGGGAGTGGGGGTAGCCGGGAGTGGAGGATTATGGGAAAGTTAGTGCTTGCACAGAGCTTCTGCTCTATGCTCTATGCTTTAAATCATGTGTGAAGTATTTTTCTGGGTCAAGGTCAACCACTTTTTTTTTTGTAGATGAGAGCTGGTTTTGCGAAGTCCTTGAATGATTGCAGGTCAAAAACTCAGCTTGATTTCATTTCACCTGAATTTAAAATTGAAAATCAATTGATTATCCTGCTATACTTTTGCTCTACTTACACATGCATTTTTAATTCAATTAAATAAAGTTTTGGTTCCCATTCTGCACCAACTAAATGAACACTTGCATTATACAACAGATAAACCAAAAATAAAGTAAAATAATAACATATCCAATCTATCCATAGTGCTTACCAGTGTGTGTGTGTGTGTGTGTGTGTGTGTGAATGTTTCCCTGCCAGTCATATCCACCTCTAGGAGTTTGTGCTCAACTCTGTTTCATAGCTGAAAAGCCCGCATTGTCCAAAGATGCTTGGGTAGTCATGTGGCCAGCATGATCAAATGCCAAAAGCACATGGAATGCTATTACCCTCCCCAAAATGGTACCTATTTATCTACTTATGTTTGCATGCTTTTGAACTGCTAGGCTGATAGGAGCTGGAGCAAGTAACTGGAGTGCATTGCATCAGGCAGAACTTAGGTCTCAAACTGTCCACCTTCCAGTCAACAAGCCCACTGTTTTAACTGTTCAGTTCCACACCCCATCAGCCTATATATTTTCATTCAATTTTATGAGTGGGAAACTGACATGGTTATTGTCTTATATCTATAAAATATTGCACAAATAACAATTGTGTTTTGAGCAATCTTACAGGATATTTGCATAACTAGAAGGTCTTATGAAATATGGAAGGGGCTAGATGGAGGATAGATTTAAGTGCAAGGGAGAACATTAAAAATACAAAAAAAAAAATCCTTTTCATTTGCCCACATAAGTTGATTTGACTTGTCTTCCAGTCACTTTGCTGATACCATCTAGTCTTCAATAACCCTACTGCTAAATTGATAAGACAACATTTATTAAATATGTATTTGGGGTTTTCATAGTTAATGGAATTAAATTAACCTAATGGGCTGGATTCCAAAAACATGGTAACCCCTCTCCCCAACCTAATTTATACTAACACCAGCCAAACTCATCATACAGTGAAAATGCATCCTGAATATTTTTAACAGACCTACTTAGTTAAATGGCATCTGAGATTAGAGCCTAAAATGAATTCTAACATTTTTGAAAACAGTAACTGAGGACGGGACGAAGGGTTTGCAAAAAGCCATAGAAAGTTATATATGCCCCTACATAATGTGCTTCTATCTTCTATAAATTTTATCCCCCTCCTCTTCTTTCTTATAGGGGCATTAACTTCAATGGACCAACTGCAGGACTTGCTTACGTGGGCGGCATCTGCAATACGATGTATTCTGCAGGAGTTGTTCAGGTTAGTAGGAAAAAAAATATATACATGTTATCTATTTCTACTCAAGAGAAAACTTACATAGAGGCAAAATGTGTTTACAAATAAAGTCTCTTCTTTTTTTTGATCCATGTCATTTTCATCCATATTTATTTGTGGATTTGACATCTCTAGGTCCTGCCTCAACTGATGGCATTTTGGCACAAAGCATTCTAGAACAGGCTTTTTGTATGCAATAAGCCATATGTCAAAGACGACAATATATTATAATGTTTCTGCATCAGGAAGAGTCAAATTGTGCTCTAATCGGCAAATGAGCAGGTCAAATCATGTTACAATACTTCCAAATAAGGCTTCTGAACAATATTCTTAGCAGTCCTAATGACAAACATGAATCACCCTTCTTTCATTTCAAGAAATTTAGTATCTAGATTGCATGTGACTGAATTAAAATACATTGAGAAAATGAGAGAATATTAAATCTTAAAAAAGAAAAAAATGCCAGTATTTTATGATCCTGCAAGAAAATCATATTAGTTAAGGTGATGCTATGCATTTATTGAGAAACAGTAAACTTAGCTTTTTGTTCACATAGAAAGAATGGAGAGACATGGCAATAAACAAAACTTATACAATAAAGCTCATAAATTTTTGTTTCTTAATAAGCAGAGTTAAGATCCTGGTAGTACGAGGTAATCCTGTTTCCACAAGAAGGTCATTTCATTCAGAAAGAGCAACTCATTCTTAAGTCTGTTTAGAATGGCTACCTTCAATATTCTGAAAATGCTAGCTTGCAGCAAAAGACACTGAGTAGTTTTTGGACTGAAGTTGCCTCTAAGTTTTAGTAACTGAATAAATGCAGACAGCAAATGGATGCATAAGTTTTGATCTTCTCCTGTGCTATAGCTTCCGGGCTTTAAAGTTTCCTTCTGGATGTATTTGTGTATGTTCTGGAGTCTTGGTGGGCCCACATATATTCAGAAGAGCTAGAGGAATCCTAAGATGGTATCCTTAACTTAAAATTGGTCACTTAGTCACCAAATTTAGCCACTTAGTGCTAATAGTAATAATTGGATTCACCTACAGTTTCTTGGTAGACTAACAATGAACAAAGTATTCTCTTTTCTTCAGGATCATAGCAAAATACATCATTTGGTTGCAATTGCAATGGCCCATGAGATGGGTCATAATCTGGGCATGGATCATGACAAAGATACCTGTACTTGCGGGACTAGGCCATGCATTATGGCTGGGGCACTAAGGTAAGGATTGAGGGAAACTTTTAATGCCTTTCCAATCAAGTTATTTTAAATGGTTGCAATTAATTGTTAAATAAAATGCTGAGAAATTACAAAAATGAAATGGTTGGGGGGTTAGAAAAAAAAGAGGGTTTTGGTCATTTGTGTGTCACCAGGAATACTTTAAGAAAATAGAGAGTCAGCACACTTAGCTCTCTATTCGTTGTTATAAAAAGTACTATCCCTCCAAATGAAGAAAAGAAAAACTGGATCAAAATTCCACTGTTTTCCCTTCAATTATATTATTGTCTTTCCACAGAGAGGCTGACTAAAAATGAAAATAAAAGGCAGCCCACTCAAACACAAGACGCAGCTCAATCAACTAAGATCACATGGAGTTCTCGTAGCAAATACTGTACATTTTGTTAAAAAAAGGAAAGAAAGTTAGTGGAATTAAAAATGAGGGATATCTTATATGTTTTTGCAATGAATTCTGTTCCTAGTCCAAATATGAATGATGTCATGGTCTTATTTTGGTTCCTCTCTACAGCTGTGAAGCTTCCTTTCTGTTCAGCGATTGTAGTCAGAAAGATCATCAGGAGTTTCTTATTAAAAACATGCCTCAATGCATTCTCAAGAAACCCTTGAAAACAGATGTTGTTTCACCTGCAGTTTGTGGAAATTACTTTGTGGAGGTGGGAGAAGAATGTGACTGTGGCTCTCCTAGAGTAAGTCTTTTTTTTAATCAACAAGAATGATTTGAAGAATTTTCTCAAAAATGGGAATCCTTGAAAAATCATCTGGCTTTCTGAATGGTTTGAGCCATCCAAGAGGTTGGTTTGTGAATGGGATAGGTTTCTGCCCTTTATGTACATGCATATATGAAGGGGTTTCTTAGATTTGGTTAACCAGTTGTAGAGGAATGGAGAACTGGTACCTCACTACCCTTTGGGGAAGATGGTGTATTTTTAAAAATGGGTGATTGACAACTCCAAATAAATCTTTCCCTCCTGAAAACTCCTATTTTGTTGACATGGCCACATTATCTGTCCCACTATTTTCTTGAGCTGATTCCTCCCATATCTGATGATCTTTAATCTATGCTCTGATCTGAATAATATTTTTATAAGAACAGTAATTTAGTGTTCTTTTTATATTGTTAAATACACTTATAATGGTCTGTGAGAATGTCCTTGAGAGACAAAAGAAGAAGGAAACGTCTACTCAATGGTCATGTAAGATGTAGAATAGCCTGCAGAAGCAATGGGGCATGGCAAACATCTCAAGAAGAACACCTCCCACCCATTCTCTTGGTCCGTAAAGATGAAGTGATAGAAATATACTTTCAGTATTGAAAGATTATGCTACAGTCACCTTACAATCAAGATAGCGTTAATACTCATGGTTGGTGCTTCTTCTCTGGATTACCTCAAAGGCTGGCATGATGAGTAGAAAATACCTCATGAATAAGAAAGGATTGGGGCTGTAGGTTATGTGGGCTTCACAATTAGGAGATGAGGATATTTTTGTTTTATTCTTGTCACATAGGAAATATCAGATAAGGCTCTTCCACAGACAGATGTCATCTGTTGCAATAACAAACAATTTGTGCATTTGCTAGCATGAACCCTAAGAGGGAGCACATTGCAGAAATGTCTTTGACAGTTTCCCTCTTCAAAATAGACCAATTAAAAAAGACCAGGCAGATAATTCTATGACATCATTTGATATGTTTTGGTTTTTAGACTTGTCGAGATCCATGCTGTGATGCTACTACGTGTAAACTGAGACAAGGAGCACAGTGTGCAGAAGGACTGTGTTGTGACCAATGCAGAGTAAGACTTGTTTATTTTTAACACCAGGAGAGATTTTACCCTGCTCCATACTAGGCATATAGAAATGTAATATCTCTTGGCTTTTTACTATGATCAAAATATTTTAATCCTATTTCTATCGCTTCTTCTAGTTTGTTTGACCTTATGAACATATCCATAGGGAGGATAATTTAACAAAATTTTAGTCTTGTCTCAATCTCAAATGCACTCTTTCAGCACGTTAAACTGTGTCTTTAAAAATAATATATTTGTTCTTTTGACTGAGTTTGCATGGAAAACCAGTTTAAATAAGGATGGGCAATGTTTGAGATTGCTGCCCTAACTCAGCTTCCTAATGGTCTGGAAGGTTCTAAGAGGTCCCTGGTAATGCTGTGAAATTTTCCTCTCTGAGCCTTTTAGGATGGAAATAGGTGCAGGAGACTTCTGGAAATAAAGTTACCTTTTTTTCCCCTTAAGTTCTCTACCTGCTCTCTAAAGCTCTAAATTCAGGTGTTTTTGTGGCACATTCTGGAGGTGCTGCAGGATCATGAAAAGAGAGATGCAAGTTCCTCATTTCTTCTTTCTTTGTGGGATCCCAGTGGACTCTAATGAACCTTTTGAGGAGAGTGGCCCAAAACATTTTGTTATTTCCATATTTCCATCACAAGCCTAGTTTCACAGCAGGAGAAGGGAGCACGTGACAGAAAATTCTATGAATGCTTCTTCCCATGTAAAGAAACAAAATGTATCATGAGAAGTTCAACAATTCATTTTTTGCTGCTTTTTCATGGCAGCCGAATTGATTTTCCCTTTATGGTTAGCCAACAGGTAGAACTTGTCTTTCAGGAACTGAGCCTTTCATTGCATTCATTTCCCCACAGCAAATAAGACAGACTGGGACTTCTAGGCACCACACACAGTTGTAACAGGGCAGGGATGTTTGCTTGGTGATCCTCAAGACAGATGAAAAGGAGGGTTTGAAATGTGTTGTGAATCATGGTTTGACTCTTTGATCTCTGCTGCTGAAGAGTGATAGCTGGGAGTATTTTTGATTCTCACCCACAGTTTAAGGGAGCAGGAACAGAATGCCGGGCAGCAAAGGATGAGTGTGACATGGCTGATGTCTGCACTGGCCGATCTGCTGAGTGTACAGATCGCTTCCAAAGGAATGGACAACCATGCAAAAACAACAACGGTTACTGCTACAATGGGAAATGCCCCATCATGGCAGACCAATGTATTTCTTTCTTCGGGCCAAGTAAGTCAACCTTAGGATTTCAAAATAGTGGCCTTATAAAAGATTAAGACAGTCATTGCCATTAATGAAAGATATTTTCTTCTTTGAATCCATAGTAAATCATCATTAGATTTCTGTTCTGTAACAGAGTTGGAAGGAGACTTGGAGGTCTTCTAGTCCACCTCCCTGCTCAAGCAGGAAGCCTTATACCATTTCCAATCTCTTCTTTAAAAAAAATCTCCAGTGTTGGAGCACCCAGAACTTCTGAAGGTCTTTTCCAGAAGGAATATTTTTTTAAGATAAAGCCTCCATTTTTTGTAGGCTTTACAGCCCAGAGATGGACTTTGGGAGAAGGATACTTTTGTGGGTTGTTCATACGTTCCCAAATTGGAGAAAGATCAGAGCCAATCTTAATGAAAGATAATGTAAATTGAACATGGGACTATGCGCTAAGAGTATTCAAACCTGCAATTGAAGTTTTCCTTACATTTGGCATAATAATTGAAGAAACAGATGTTGGGGGATGTGATTCTTATCACTGATCACTCATCATTTTAATGCCAGACTATTACAAAATTTTCAGCATGGATTTATATTGAAAAAGGAAACTGAAATAAGTTCCTCTTTTTCATATAGGGTAAACAGTTTTCAGCAAACAGGGAGATTTATCTTGGCCATCTATATGCAATGAAGCTTTGCATATAGAAAGTCCCAAACACAAGTTTTGGGTCACTAATTAAAAGATTCAGAATTAACAGAATAATAGAAGAACAGAGTTGTAAGGAGCCTTTGATGTCTTCTAGTCTAACGTCCTGTTCAAGCAGTAGACCCTATATCATTTCCAATCTCTTCTTAAAAACCTCCAGTGTTGGAGCACCCCAACTTCTGAAGACAAGCCATTCCATTGATTAATTGTTCTGTCAGGAAATGTCTCCTTGTTTCTAGGTTGATTCTCTTCTTGATTAGTTTCCATCCATTGGTCGTGTTCGCCCTTCAGGTGCTTTGGAGAATCGGTTGACATCCTCTTTTTTGTGGCAGCCCCTTAGATATTGGAACACTGATATCATGTCACCCCAAGTCTTTCTTTTCAATAAACTAGATGTACCCAATTTGTGCAACTCTTCTTCATATGTTTTAGCCTCTAGTCCCCTAATGATATTTGCTGCTCTTCTCTGCATTTGTGGCAAACAAAACTGTACACAATATTCCAAAGCATTATAAAGTGATACTAACACTTCATGTGATCTTGATTTTATCCTCCTGTTAGTGTAGCCTAATTATAGTGTAAAGCAATTCCGCCACTATTGCAAAAGTGTAGCCTAATACTGTGTGGGTTTTTTTGCAGTTGCAACACACTGCTGCCTCATATTTAAGTGATTGTCCACTAGGACTCCAAGATCCCTCTCACAGTTAGTACTACTGAGCCAGGTATCACCTCTTCTGTACCTGTGCATTTGGTTGTTCTTTCCTAAATGTAGAATTGTTTTTTTTTTTTTTACTTTTTTGCTACTGAATTTAATTTTCTTAGATTGGACTCAATGTTCAAAAGATCCTTCTGGATCTTAACCCTATCTTCTGGAGTGATTGTTATTCCTGCCAATACGGTGTTCTCTGCAAATTTGATGAGTTCCACTTCCATCCTTTTGTCTAAATTGTTTATGAAGGGTCAGGTGGAATGTGATGATGATTGGGAATCTGAATTACAAATCAGAACATTAATCGATCATCTGATTTATGGAGGATGTGATTTAGACAATAAATAGACATTTGTTGTATTATTTCCATTGATTTGAAAATGAAAAACTCTCAGTTCAAACAAAGAAATCGTTATTTTGGTCAGGTAAATAGCATGAAATGAGGTAGCATTCCAAAGAATAGTAATAGCTCAATCCTTTGCAAGTAATCCAACTGGATTCAAAGAGGCTCGTGCCCAGGAATTGACAGGGCTCAAACCAAGAATGACACATGATGGTTATTCCAAGCTGAATTCTTTCTTGTTTCATTCCTATAGTCAAAATCTTTCCAGACTCTCTACTATCTGCATCTACAATACACTCTGTAAACTATTAGGGAGGAGATGTCTTCACCCTCTTTCTTTCACTCATGATATCCAGGCAGAGTTGCCTCTTACTCCTCTGGATTTCACCTCCTCCCTTCTGGGAATCCATGTTGTCACTGCATTCCAGCACAGGAATGTATCCATGATAGCTGAAGTGGAAAAATGAGGACACAGAGGAAGAAATCTGGTTTCAGATTCCCCCATAGCCATTGATTTACCGCATGGTCTTCTGCAAGTTGCATTGTATGGCTTCAGCTTTGTGTCCATAAAATGGAATAAGCAAGTTTAGTGTAACACTGTATGTGATAGTGAAAGCTTCATAATGAGGATTAGATAAATAAGTAAGTAAGTCAATATTAACTAAATTATTTGGAACTCCTCTGAAATCTCTTAAACCATTTTTTATCCTGCTGGCATGTTACACATTCTGGTATTTGTCTTGGTTCCTCACTCCCTCTTGCAGGTGCAACTGTGTCTCAAGATGCATGTTTTCAGTTTAATCGTGAGGGCAATCATTATGGCTACTGCAGAAAGGAACAAAATACAAAAATTGCATGTGAACCACAGTAAGCTTTCTAAATTATTTCCTGCAATGTTGTTGATATAATATAAGGATAATAAGAAATATTTTATAGTCCACATCTGTGGGAATATGACTCTGTCGCCCAGCTAAAACAATAGAAATATGAGCCAAAATTTATGACTAATTTTTCTTTGTTTTCCATCCGGGGTTACAAGATGGAGCAAAAGTGGGGTATAAAAAGACTGCTGTGAGGATGGAAGGTTGTGTGAGAAGGTTGTGTGAAAAAGGACAGATAGTCCTTGACTTATAATCTTTCGTTCAGTGACTTCAAAGAAGTGACTTACAACTGATTCTTCGCTTCCAACTCTCACAGCATCCTATAGTCATGTGATCAACATTTGGGTTCCTGTATTTATGAGGGTGCAGTATCCCGAGGTCACATGACACCATTTTCCATCTTCCCAGCCAGCTTCCAACAAACAAAGTCAATGGGGAGGTGAATCACCATGTGATTCACTTAACAATTGTAATGGTTCACATAACAGCCATGGCAAAAAGGTTGTAAAATTGGCAAGGGAAATTCTGGACATAGTTGTGGTTGTAAGTCAAGGACTACACTATTATCTGCCTTTCTCATTGGGCTGACATCACCCAGCTTATTTAACCTGCATATTACTGAATAAACCCTTGTTGGTTGAGTTTACTAATTGCATTTGGTCATAAATCATGATTTAGAAACCACAATGGCTAAATTGGCACCACATGTTAAACCCAAACTAAACAGTAAGCCACATTATCTTTTAGTGGTGTGTGTAAATCTGGACTCTGCCTTTAGCTCTTATGTAAACACACAGACCCTTGTGCCATTGTTTCCTGTTAAAGGAAGGAAATTTCTTATTTTATACATCCTTAGTTAAATCTTAAATACTTTTTTCTTCCTATTTTTTTTTAAAGTGAAATGGAATAATAGCCATTTTTTTGGGGGGGGGCTCTTTCCCTCTCCAACATTTAGTGCAGCTACCCTAACCTTTACATTTCAACTCCCTGTCATCCACTGATCAGAGATTAGGAGAATTTTAGGCTAGAATCTGGAAAAACTAAATCTCCTAATTCTACTTTAGGCGTTTTCCAGCTGGATAATAGATGCACTCTTAAGATGAGAATCCTGACTCAAACTATCTTCACCCCAAAAAGAAGGAAATCACAGTGAACTAGTTGGAGATACAAGAACTGTGTTTCTCTATTTTGTTTCAAACCTTGAAAGATTTTGTGGGATTTTTCAGTTACGTGTTAAAAAAGGCAACCCGGTTCCTATTGAGGCTGAACAAACCTCTGGTTCCCCATCTCTAATTAAAAAACCAAAACGCATAAAGGATAACCCAAGATCAGCTGATTATCAGCACAGTCACGTGCTCTGGTCATCTCCCAGTTGGATTACTTCATAGGGCTACCCTTGAAGAGTATTCGGAAAGTGCAACTGGTACGGAACACTGTGGTGCTGATAGTTCTGGAGGCCTCTGACATGTGACACCGCTGTTATATGATGCACAGGTTGCCAGTTTGCTTCCGGGTCAATTCAAGGTGTTGGTCATTACCTTTAAAGCCCTTTATGACATGAGTCCAGGGAACTGATGGAACTGTTGGGATTAACCTGCTCCAGTCCTTTTGGTGGAAAAGGTCTACTTCAGATCCTATCAGCCAAAGACTTTTGGCTAGAGAGGTGCAGGAGAAAAGCCTATTCAGCTGTGCCCCCCCCCCCTGCAATATTCAGAGGTGAGGTCTGGCCCCAGAGTTCAGGCTCCCAGGAACAACTTCAAACATGGTTCTGCTGCTTGACCGGGGGGGGGAGGGGCAACATGGGCCTGCTACATTAGGGATGGCTGATGGAATGGTGAAGACACTCATCCCCAGGCTGCCCATCATGTTTCTTAATTTTTACCTTTTATTCTAATTGTAATTGTTTGTGGCACTTTCTAACTTTTTGTTATATCATAAGTCACCCAAAAGCCATTCTATTAGTGAGATGGGGGACATGAGAAATAAATGAATGAATATTTGCAAATAAGCAAAGGAACAAACCTCATTCTTATTAATTAGTATGAATTGACTGCTTCCTTTTCAGAGATGTAAAATGTGGCAGGTTATACTGCTTCCCTAATTCACCTGAAAACAAGAATCCTTGCAATATCTACTATTCACCCAATGATGAAGATAAGGGAATGGTTCTTCCTGGAACTAAATGTGCAGATGGAAAGGTTAGTAAAAGATTACCTCTAATCTGTGTGCTTTAAAGTCTGATTCCGAGGGGTGATCGCTAATTTTTTTTGCAATCAATCAATGCTGAAAGCTGGTCTAGATTTTCCAAACTACAGTGAATCTACATAGAAGAAAAAGTATCCATCTAGCCTTCTTTTGGTTGTTATTTTGTTTTTCCTTCAAAGAACAACCCCCAACAAATGAGGTGGATGTCCAGGGCTGTTTCTTTCTTGCAAGAACAAAACGCCTGGCCTTCTCAGAGCCTTGTGCTTCTCTCTCACAGCATCTTCTGGACAGACTGTCAAGAGACAGACCTTTCTCTGAACTTGTAGGCATCTCCATTAGGAAGGTGGAAGAGAGAAATAGAAAATCAGGGCAGAGTTGGTTGTGACCTAACAATGCAGCCACTTAGAAATGCTGAAGCAAACCCAAAGCTTACCTTAAAGCAGGGGTTCTCAACCTGTGGGTCGGGACCCCATTTGGGGTCAAATGACCATTTCACGGGGGTCACCAAACCACGCTGTCTGCCATTTTTTCCCTTTTCCCTAGCTGTCCTACTCCCTCTTATTGGTGGCCACACCCATTTGGGGGTCACCACAACATGGGGAACTGTATTATGGGGTCACGGCATTAGAAAGGTTGAGAATCACTGCCTTAAAGGATCAGGAATCACTTCCCCTTGATTTTTATACTACATAGAACCTGAAAGAAGTTTCAGTTAGTTCAGAAAGTTCTGTCTTACTCCATTGATCATCTCTTGCTTTGACTTTCAGGCCTGCAGCAACGGGCAATGTGTTGATGTGACTACACCCTACTAATCAATCTCTGGCTTCTCTCAGATTTGATTTTAGAGATCCTTCTTCCAGAAGGTTCAACTTCCCTCAAGTTCAAAGAGACCCATCTGCCTGCATCCTACTAGTAAATCACCCTTAGCTTTCATATGGAATCTAAATTCTGCAATATTTCTTCTCCATATTTAATCTGTTTACCTTTTGCTGTAATCAATCTTTTTCCCGCCACACAGCTCCATGGGCATGTACAACACCAACGACTTATTTGCTGTCAAGACAAAAAAAAAAGGCCAGTTTACCGTTTGCCAATTGCAAGCATATTTAATGCAACAAGTTCTGCTTTTTGAGCTGGTGTATTCAAAGTCAATGCTTCCTCTCCCAAAATTTCATGCTGGCTTTCCAAGATGTAGCTGCTTCCATCAATAAACTATTCTCATTCTGCATTTTGTAAAGGCTTATCTTTCAAATATTGTTTGCTGGAATAAACCACATCAAGAACTTGCACGCAATCCTGAGGTAAACTATCAGTGAATTATCTACTGGCATTAAAGGCAGTGGTCAGATTCAGCCAGTTTGCACCAGTTCGGAGGAACCGGTAGCAAAATTTTCCTGAATTCGGAGAACCGGCTGGCTTCCAGACGTCCAGTCTAGGCCTTGGAGGCCTGAAGGAGGCCTCTCAGGCCTAGAATAGTCCACCAGAAGTGCATGGATACCACTTCTGGAACATTCTATGACAATTCTAAATGCTGACTGCTAGTAAAGATTCTCTGGATTCAAAAGGGTACAAATTCCCTGATTGCAGATTCCTCTCTTTTGTGCTCTTTATAGAAGCTATTTGTTTTGGTAATGTTTGCATCCTAGCTAAAAACTCAGAGGACATTAAAAGAGATCAGTTTTAAACATTTAGATTTTTAAAATATAAATTTGTTTTTTTAAAAAAGATCTTTATAGTTGCAGCAACCCTGACATCTAGTGGGCAAGAGTCTGAACTGCACCCTTAATCACATTCTAGTTATTTGTTTTCTTTCTGCATATAGTCATGCTGGCCACATGAAGCTCTTCATCTGTGAATGAGAGATGAACAGCACCCCCTAGAATCAGACACAAGAGACTTAGCAGGGACCCTCTCTAGTTTCTGTAAAGGGAACAGTGGGAGATTTCTACTTTCAGAGGCTAGAGGAGTTGATTTTCCAGACTCTCAACTTCTACTATTCTGCAGTGGAAAAAGCTCCTCAAATAGAGCCACTAAAAATTGCTCACTTGAAGTACTCAATTCAAAAATATCTATTTGTATTTGTGTTCTTTATCCGCGCCTGTGTTGAAGCAAATGGGCCTCCCCTGGCCCGATTAATAAGGAGTTAATACCATTAATAAAGAGTACCTTAATCTTAAAATGCCATTTAAAAGGTTGATTTCTTTTGGTGGTCACAATACCCACAGGAGGGCACAGTTTTCGATTTTATCATTAAAATCTTATTAATATTAATAAGCCACAATAGGCCTTAACTCGGTTTAAGACTTGAACCAGGATCCAGATTGTTGGGGGCAATGTAAATATATATGAAACTTCCTATGAAAAACTTGAAGTCCAAAGAGCTTCCATTTTATGCGACCTCGCATTCCTACGCAACTGCCGAGATCAAAATCTAATCCCCACATGTTTCCAACTGAAATTCCACTCCAACTCTGCACCAAACGGATCCTGAAAGAACAGAATTGGCCCTAATCAGAAATGAACTTCACACAAAAAGATTCCTCCTAGACCGAATTAACAAAGATCTCCTCACACTCCACCTCAAACTCAGCAACAAGATCCACCCCGCACTTTGGGACAAATCCAAACAACTCACCATCTGGAGAGCCGAAACACAGACCACCCTCAAGACAGATACACACACCAACAAACTCCGAAGACTACAAGAACGCCAGAAACAAACCCCTCCTCCCTCACAGCCACACATGAAACAAACAGTGCATAACATCTCAGATAGGATCCTCACCAAAGCCGAAACCAATGTCCTTTCCAAAGGATTCAACTTTGCAGTCGCTCCCAAACACATCCCCACTGAAACCATTATATGTGGAGTTGAAACCAGCCTGACCAAAATCAACCCCGATGACGCTAACAAAATCAGACTCAAAATCACCAACATCCTCTGCACCAGCAAGCCACCCAAAAGCAACTTACCCAAAGAGGAACAGACAGCACTACGTAACCTGAAAGAAGACACCAGCATAATAATCCTACCAGCAGACAAGGGCAACGCCACGGTGGTTATGAACACATCTGACTACCAAACCAAATTAACCAACCTACTCCAGACTCCACATACAAACCCTAAATACAGATCCCACCACCTACCTGGAAAAAACCACCAGATCCAAAATAAAAGCCTCCCCCATTAGCGAAGAGATCCAGCAAAGAATCATTCCCAGAGAGAAATCATTCAGATGCCCCAAACTCTATGGTCTCCCCAAGATACACAAAGAAGGAACCCCACTCAGACCTATAGTCAGCTCCATAGGCTCACCTCTACAAAACCTAGCCAAATTTCTCGCCAAACAACTACAGCCCTATGCAGAATCCATCACCTCACACGTAAAAAACTCATTCCAGTTTATAGAGATCATAAAGAAACAAACTTACAGCCCAGCGACCTACTAGTGAGCTTCGATGTCATATCCCTCTTCACCCAAGTGCCTATCAAAGAAGCCTTGACAGCTATTCAAAACAAATATAACCCCCCCAAACACATCTTAGATCTGACCAACCACTGCCTATCCAACACATACTTCATCTATAATGGACAAAAATACAAACAAACAGAAGGAGCACCCATGGGATCACCCCTCTCACCTGTCATTGCCAACCTCTACATGGAACACTTTGAAACCCAAGCTCTAGAAAAATCGGATCACAAACCCAAACTCTGGCTCAGATACGTAGACGACACCTTCATAATCTGGCCACATGGGAAAGAAAAACTGGACAACTTCCTCACACACCTCAACAGCCTACACCCCAAAATACAGTTCACCATGGAAACAGAAGCTAACAACCAACTTCCCTTCCTGGATGTCTTAGTCTACAAGAAATCCAATGGCTCCCTAGGACACACCATCTACCAGAAGAAAACACACACAAACCGCTATCTGCACGCTCTCTCACACCACCACCCAGCACAGATCAACTCTGTAGCCAAGACACTCATCTCCAGAACAAAACGCTTAGCTGACGAACAACACCTAAAACCCGAACTACACACTCTCACCAATGTACTAACATCCAATGGATTCCATAGAAATAAGATTACAAACCTAATCCAAAAAGAAACCCCCATAAAATCCAAGACAAAGAACAAGAAAACGGCAAAGCCCTCCTCCCATACATAAAAGGCACCACAGACAGAATCAGTAAGATCCTCCATAAACACAACATCAAAACAGCATTCTGCACAAACAGAAAAATATCCACCATCCTTAGAAACCCCAAAGATAAAATTGAATTAGAAAATCAAGGAGTATACGAAATCCCATGCACCACTTGTCCCACCACATACATCGGACAAACCAACAGAAGAATAAGTGCACGCATTGAAGAACATAAGAACTCAGTCAAAAAAGAGGAACCAACATCTTCCCTGGTCCAACACCTTAAAGCCACAGGACATGAAATTGACTTTAAAAATACCAGAACCATTGCCAAAAGTGAACATTTTAATAACAGAATAACGAAATCCCATGCACCACTTGTCCCACTCTATCTGTGTCAGATAGAGAATGATTCAGTCAAAATGAGGATTAGATAAAAAATGGATTACAAAATAATAGATTACAAATAAGCAAATATTAACTAGCAAATAATAAGCAAATAATCTCTCCTCTGAAATCTCTTAAGCCATTCTTTACCTGGCTGGCATGATACACACTCAGTTATTTGTCTTGGTTCCTCACTCCCTCTTGCAGGTGCAACTGTGGCTGAAGATGATTGTTTTAATATTAATGACAGCGGGGATAAATATTTCTACTGCAGAAAGGAAAATGAGAAATATATTCCATGTGCACCACAGTAAGCCATCTAAATTATTTCCTGCTATGATGATGATGATGATATAAAATAAGGATAATATAAGAAATATTTTTGTGTCCACATCTGTTGGAACTTGATTCTATCACCTGGTTAAAACAACAGAAATGTGAGTCAATTTCTGAATGGCTAATTTTCCTTTGTTTTCCATCTTGGGTTACAAGGTGGAACACAAGTTGGGTGTAAAAAGAGTGCCATGAGGATAGAAATGCCTTTTAAAAGATTGTGTCAGAAAGGAGAGATACTCCTTGACTTACAACTATTTGTTTAATGACTTCAAAGAAATGACATACAGCTAGTCCTTGCACTTACAACTGTTGCAGCACTTGAGTCATGTGAGCAAAATTTGGGTGCTTGGCGACCAACATTTATTTATGAGGGCTGCAGTGTCCCAAGATCATATGATACCATTTTTGACCTTCCCAGCCAGATTCTAATAAACCAAAGTCAATGGGGGAGGTCAGATTTGCTTATCCCAAAGATGCTTTTTCATGAAGCAACTGGACTTTCTTGTTTTTCTTTGAAGATGTTTCACTTCTCATCTAAGAAGCTTATTCAGCTCTGAGTGGATGGTGAGGGATGAAAAGTTTTATACTCCTGCTAACAGCTAGTCATTTGCATTCTTTTAGTGAGTTATTAAAGCTACCTGGAGGCTTATCTGTGTCTTCAGGATCACCTGAGTAGCTCAAATGGGTGTGGAGCCTTCTTGGAATTGTTGAAAGGTCTGTGTTGTAGACGTGAGATAGATGATGTCAGATCTCTCCCCCTCTGTTGAGAGAGGGCTGTTCATGGCCTCTTTGACCCCTCTTTCAAACCAGTGGTCCTTTCTGTCCAAAATGTGGACTTTGCTGTCTTTGAAAGAGTGGCCTTTGTTTTTTAAATGCAGATGGACTGCTGACTCTTGTCTTGATTTGTTCTCCTATGTTGTGCCATATATTTATAAAGTTGTTGTTTTGTTTCCCCCATGTACAGATCTGCACACAGCTCACTGCATTGTACTGCATATATCACATTGCTCAGTTTGTGTCTGGGTGTTTTATCCTTGGGATGGACAAGCTTCTGCCTTAGTGTATTCTTAAGTTTGAAGTGTGCAGGTATGTTGTGTTGGCTGAAGAGCTTTTCTGATATTCCTGCAACGTACGGAATGACTATGTTGCTTCGTTTATTGTTTTCTTCATCTGTTACAGAGGAGCTCCTGCTAGGTCTTTTTTGAGATTTGATGAAGGCCCACTTGGGATAGTGACACGTTCTTAGGGCTTCTTTTTCTTTTCATTCTTTCCAGCTGGGAAGGCCTTCAGCTCTGCGGTGTAAGGTTCTGATAACTCCCATTTTGTGCTCCAGTGGGTGGTGTGAATC